GTTGGATCATTCCAGCCCTGAAATTGCCAATCTCTACTGAACTAAAGGTAAAAGCCAAGTAGCTGTCAACTTGAAAACTGCCACTACATGACATCACGAGGTGGAACAGAGCATTTTGAGATCTAGACAGGCTTACTCAAACATGTGTGAGTGAAACAAAACACAACTTCAGGCATGTTTCTGGGGAGGTAACATTATAACATGGCTACAAGAGTCAACTTTGCATAATATAAGATCTTTAATTTCGAGCTACTGTATCTATCTCTACACAACAACAAAGTACTTCAAGTGAAACCTAAGCACACGCGTCATGATCAAAGTGAAGTTGTGTCGCCGTATTTCCTGATACAACAGTAGGAAATGTTTGAGTCCAGGCGACATTTTACAGCTCCATAAATTAGCCCCATGTGGTTTGTCCTGATTTAAGTGGACTCTACTGTAAACACTGCAGTACAAGAGACACAGTAAACAGCCAGTGACAACTTCAAGCCTTTATTTGTCCACTTTTCCACATGTGCAGCCTGCTCACATCCAGATGTTCCACTCAGGGCCGTGACAACAGGAAGTGTCCCACGGTATCCACGGTAACCCCGACATTCCTTCCTGCCCGGGTCACCTGACTTCTCCCACAATTCACATCACTGCTGCTGAGTTTAAAAACATGAATCATCAAAGACTTAATGCGGGCTGTTTACAAGAGTTTAATCTGATAGTTTTTAAGATACAGGAAAAGAAGGGTGAGAAAATCAGAGAAAAGTACAAGAAGTAGTTAGGGTTTTATCAGTGATATTCTTCTTTTCTGATGATTATGATGATCAAAGGCTCATCAGAGATTCTAGTTTTCTCAGAGGATCCCCAGGTTTGACATTTAAGACCACCTAAATAAAAATTAAGACCAACATTGCACCCATTATGTGGGCGAAAAACACCAGATCCAATTCTAAAAATGACCAGTACTTTAAATAACAAAAATACCTTTATTAAAAAATCTCATTCGGAACTCATTTATAGTAGTATGTATTGCTTGTAACATGGCCAAAAAATTACATTATAACAAGACAAACTAAGTATTGTTTGTGCATACTCCAAATTAGACATTCATTCATGTTACATGATTTCACTTTTTTTTTTTTTTTTTTGTTTCCTCCCTTCCTTTAACATTGCACTACAGCCCGGTTGAGTATACAAAAAATAGACAAATGAAATTTAAGACCTTTGTGAAAAAAAATAAGACTTGGACAACATAATTTAAGACTTTTTAAGGCCTTAATTTAGGAACATGAAATTTAAGACTTTTTTAAGACTTTTAAGACCCTGTGGCTACCCTGTTTCTATAAGTCAACTAGACAAATTATTCTTTCTGTTTTCTACAATGAGAATTTAAATACATTTTAACTTTTTGATTGTAAGTTTTCTATGCTCTGCCTAGAATGCTCCACAGTATGACATTAAACTGCTCTACTTTATATTTATTCAATTACCTGTGGTTTAATATCTCGAAAATGCTGAGAAAAACAGGCATTCTGACTGTGAGTGGGGTCGCCTCTCCACTGATCTGACCTGTAACTTGGTCTGGTTTGGCCTCCATAAAGAGCCAAAGGTTTAATGTCATACTGTGAAACATTCCAGACAAAACAATAACATTTGTATGAAGAAAAGCATTTGATGGACTCTCCAGCAAAAATGTTACACACTGCAACTTTAAAGGTACAGTGTGCAACTTTGGGTACATTACATAACCATGCTTTGGAACATGGAGATAGATGAGTTATTTTTGCAATTTTTCCATGCAAACTCAACCAAAAAAAAGAGATATTTTGTTTGTATTTCTCTACAAAGTTACATACTGTAGCTTTAAATGAAATGTCATGACCCCATCTCTTATTTTCCGATGCTTCTCCTGTTAGTTTTGTGTCTGACCTCAGCTATTCTTCCCCCCTCTATTGGAGCGGCCCAGGTAACAACAGCCAGTGTCCACTCCCCATTCACACACAGTGCTCCTGGCCTGTTTCTATAAAGGCGTGTAAGGGGAGACGTCTGAGACCGCCGACACACACACAAGAATGAGGTTTAAAAAGACCCTCCCCCATACACAATAACGCACAATAATACACAATAACCCTAACCTGTCCATCAGCACAGCCCTTCCACTCGCTGCCTTTGACTCCCCCATCAAAGCTCCTTTTAAGACACAAGCGTTTATCCGCTTCATAAAAATTCCCTCTAAACAACAAAATAAAAAGAAAAACAGCAGAGTGCTTCGAGCTAAAAATGGGATCTACGGGCTTTGAATTGAAAATGATTTTGAGAAAAGTCCTGGTTACATATTATCAAAAAAGACAGAGCTATGGCATATATGTCTATAGGTCAAAGTCAAAGTAATTGGATTTGATAGTGTACAAAATAAAAGTGTTGTAGCATCTGACAACAAGGAAGACAGCACAATAAAGTTTTAGTAAAGCTCTTTAAGGTCCAGCAAAGACATAACACAAATCACTTTCAAGAACTGGCTGTCATGTCTGTGTCCAATCACTGCTTTTGCACTGATAACCCTGATCCAACTATTCAGAGATCTAGTTTACGCTGTATAAAGATTGCAGTGGTTTTGAAGAGGTCAAAAATGCACTAGAATCTGGCAAAAACAAGAATAAAATTTAAGTCAGAGAATCAAAACATCAGCATCATAGTTAAACAGCAGTTCAAACTGTTTTAGATGGAAAACCGCAGATAACTTTGCTATTTTTATTTGATTAACTTGAAATTTGCTTCATTCACAAATGGAGTTGTATTCTTGGTTATTATGTTTGACATCTACTAAAATATTCTCCCGATAATAATTAGATTAGCCTAATTTGTACAGTCTATCAGAAAGTGCTGAGACGTGCCTGCAAAAAGTCTTGGTTGAGGTTCAAGTCTTGCACAAAATGTGATTGAATTATACATTTTAATACCATTTTGCAGCTTTTCAACACTACATTCTATATAGTTTTAGGCACGTTTTTGATATCATCTTGTAGCTGATGAGCCCCTAATTTGCTGTACAGTAGTCTAATTTTCAACCATTTGAAAGTATCTCCCTTTTTAGAGTGACAGTGAAATTCTTGTTTAGTTCTTGGTTCAAGCTGAATTGATTATTTCCGTGGATGTGATGACAGTGATAGCATCAGCACTTTCTCTCTTCCTCCATCTTTCTCCTTCTCTCTCTCTCTCTCCCTCCATCACGCTTCGCTATTCGTCGCTCACAAAGGGTTAAAACAACTGCCAAGACCAAATCAGATTAAAATGAGGCTGGATCTCGTTTCACTTTTTTCTCATGACCCATTTTTCTGTGTCGCTGCTGAGGAGACAAGAGAGGAGCAGGAGGAGGAGCAGTGCCACCTCTGGAGAACGCACACACACACACACACACACACACACACACACACAGGTAGAACAGAGCTTTGTACTGGGGATTACATAGGAAACACTTCAGTCAAGCACCTGATCAATACAGGTATAATGTAAAAAAAATAAATGATCAATATATATGGTTGGATTAGTGCTGTCAAAGTCAATTTTGATTAAGGAAAATGTTCGATACACCTTCCTACACTTATACGGTCTAATTATATTATAGTTCTAATGATCAAGACTGCTACAAAACTATTGGCGAAAGCTCTAACTGTCTTACAAATTTCTGAAAAATGATACATATCTGAACATATCAAAGCAATCAAAGCTATTGTTCAATTTACCTGTTACATCTGTAGCCGCTCAGTGTTCATGATAAACTAATGTCTAATGTAAATACTGGGTCTTGTCTTGTCTATCTTGTGTCTAACTATCAAGATCAGACATTTTTGGGGCCACAGTGGTTGAAGAAACCTTTCCCATCAAAACCTATCAAATGTCTCAAAACAAGATCTATTAAAAAGTCCGTATTATGAAGGCACACTACTTTACAGCTTGCTGAAATAGGCGAGTGAGGGCAGTTCTTGAGAGGGAGACGGATTAAATGCTCATAACGCAAATATGTGCCAATGAAATAAAACACTGACGGTGGTACAACATTATAGCATAGTTAAAAGCTCAAATAAAAGCAGATTTCACATGATGTTATGGGGTTTTAAAGCTGTACTACTGAACTTTCATGCTGGAGGGTCTGCCACCTGCTTGTCTCCATGGAGATGTTACTGATTTGGGCAACAGTAGCTCACAGGGTATCCCCAGGTTTGACTACTCCAAATTTAAGACTTTTTAAAGACCTTTTTGAGACCACTTAAATGAAAATTAACACCAACATTGCAGCCATTATGCGGGCGAAAAACACCAGATCAAATTCTAATAATGACCAGCCAACAAGTATATCTAAGAAACTAAGAGCCACTGTGAAAAAAATAAGACTTGGACAACATAATTTAAGACTTTTTAATTTAGGAACATGAAATCTAAGACCTTTAAAAGACTTTTAAGACCTTGTGGCTACCCTGAGCTCAATTGGTAGAGCTTTTGCCCACTGACCTGAAGGTTGATGGTTCAAATTGCACTCTTGCATAAAAAAAACAAAAAAACATAATTGCTTAAATAGTCAGATCCATTGACCCACAGGTTGGCGGGGTTATTCCAGCTCCCACAGATGAATGCTGTTGTTGCATCCTTGGGCAAGACAACTGATGTATGAATGTGTGTGAATGTGAATGGGTGAGTGGCTCCTTGATGTAAAGCGCTTTGAGTGCCTTGAAGGAAAAGTGCTATATAAAAAATGTGAAAGCAGATGAAGGCACTATAGGCCATGCTACAGGTCAGATCTGTGGAGAGGTGACCCTGTATTTGTGAGCATACAAAAATACAAGATAGATACCTGTGGAACCTTCTAGGCCAAGCAATAACACCCTAATTGAGACAAGCAGGCCCTCATCCAGAAAAGGCCCTGTAAATCACCCCATTCTCCTGTTGTTCCCCATATTGAATCATTGTGTTCCTGTGAGTGTAGCAGGCGTGTACAGTGGCTGGCTCCGTACCTGTCGATGATAACTGGGTCTGAAGGTGTCTCATTACGGTTTCCACAGCTCTTCTTGTCACAGCAGCGACTACAGCAGACACGACAGAGAAGAAGAAGAAACACGGGGCACAGTTAGACAAGGATAATAGACAGCGCATAATGTGGAGGTTCAAATTTCGCTGCTTAAATGCGAGCGAGGTGTTTTATCTGCGCTGATGTGGGGCGCACAGCCAAATTCACAGCCATTGATCAAAACTGTTGAGGTTTTAGTGAGGGAGTGTGCTGTGCCAGGCGGCGTGACAGCTCGGGTAAAAATAGATTTGTACGACACCGAAAGTGAAGTGATCGGCACTTAAGGAAGGAGTCGCCAGCTGCTCAGGTGAGTTATGGACCAAAACTTGAGATTAAGATGTAATGAGGTGAAAGACCTATCAACAAAAAATACTCAATCATCTGGAAGTAGAGTTGAGGTTGGTTTAAGGTTCGTCAGGTAGAGATGTCAAGACTTTTTGGTTAATTGATAATGACTGAACTAACTGAACTAAAAATATTACCTGAGAAATACTGATGCAAAGTTGTTGATTACATAAAGTTGGAAACATACCAGAAGAATGGTAAAGACAGCAATGAAATTAAATTAAGGATTTCACTGTTGTATAACCTTAATAATCATATTGTACTTTGATAAATCTGGTGGAGGATTTGTCTTAATCTTTATATAAGAATAAAGTGTTTGTACATTTCCCAGATAAATAAACTCACACACTACTAGAGATGTAACAAATACCAGAAATAGTATCGTCAGACTTCTCACAAAAATATCGTGGGCAGTCACAATATATCAAATTAGGTCTCTTTGTTTAAATTAATTGTTATGGTGCAGCATTAGCTAAGACAAAGGGAACTACATAGACCATGATCCTTTGCGTGCAGAATCACTCAAAGGATCAGTGCAGAAATAACTGTTATTAAGAACTTTGAAATCTTAATTCTTTGGATAATCAAAGGTTTGTAGAGGCATTTTAAAAGCAAAAAGTAGTATATTCAAATATTTATCATCATATTGTATTCATCATATTTGTTAGCCTCCACCAAATATCACCATAAATATTGCACAGTGTGATGCATATCATACGCTACATTTACATGATCAGTGAAGTGTCATACCCAAAAACACGGGGGAATTCACTTAAATGTACTTTTTTATTTCTTACAGTTATAAAAATAGTGTCCAGATGACCATGACTGAAAGTGTCTCTACATCTTACTCTCATGGTATAACAAAATAAAAGTGAAATAAAACAGAAGTAGGGGGAGAGTTTTAACAGTGGTGATTTTTTAAGATCTGCGTGTGAATGGTTTATGTGGCTTCTATAGATCAAGGAACAAAACAGCATGCACATTTTCTCTTAACTAACATTGTCTGCAAAAATCTTCCTGCGAATCCTGCACTTTTCTTTTTACAGTAGAGTTTATCGTCTTTGGACAAAAGATCAGCATCAGAGAAAGTACCTTGTGGTGTTTTTAGACTGTCAAAATGAGACGCCTAAAGACATGGATTGTTGTGAAGAATGGTGAGAAATATTACTAAACGTCTTGGTCCCGATGGTACCTCTGAAACTGTCAGGTTCGATAGAAGGCAGAGAGAGTGGGAAACCTGAAACAGCCCCAGGCCTTTGACAAGAGAAGGGTGGGATTCACAAAGACATACTGTACACGTGAGCCACACTGTGTAGTCCTGAGTGCAAGTAGTCTAGTCCAGTTATATTCCTAGTTATTCCATAATTTAAGCGCCTGTTTTTGCCTTGTGTTTTGTTTTAAAGATCTTATATTGCACAAAATTGACTCTTTAAGCAATGTTATAATGTTGTTACCTCATCAAAAACATACCTGAAGTTGTGTTTTGTTTCATTCACACATGTTTTAGTAATCCTTTATTTTTTGTCTGTTTACATCTCCAAAGCTCAAAATGGTCTGTTCCATCTTGTGATGTCATGAAGTAGTAGTTTTTAAGTTAACAGCTACATTTTACCTTTTGTTTAGTAAAGATTTGCAATTCCAGGTCTGAAATTATCCAAATATTAGAATGAAGGTGTATGGAGTTTAAAAACACAGTGGAGCGCTTCCTGTATTATCACTTGAAACTTGAGTGTTTTCTGTTTGAGACAAGAACTCAAAAGAATTCAATAAATATAGATATGAAGAGCTTGTGTGACATGTGTGAATGAAACAAAACACAACTCCAGGTATGTTTGCAATGAGGTAATAGCATTATAAATTAGAAAATACCGTAACATTATAGATCAGAAAATAGATCAGTGTAACATAAATATACTTTCAGTAAAATTCTATTTGGTCCTGATTTAGTCCTGCTTAGACGTGCTATGTCAACAAGGAGCTTAACAGAACTGGCCCACTTCAGAAAATAAATTCCACATTCATTTTCCCACAGATTTTTCAAAATATTCAACTGTCAAATTCAACTAAAGGCTTTGTGGTTGGAGACTAAACAACCCCAGAACCAGATCTCATCAGAACTCAAATATTTTCATCCATTCATAACTTGTGTACAGTTGAATTTCGATGATTGCTGCAGTTTCCTTCTAAACTCCATTATTCTTTCAAGGTGCTGGATTCTTTAGTTATGGAATTATAGCAAGATACTAAGATAATATGGAACAAAGTATTTTATTTTATTATTACTAGTTTTTATTTTTGTTTTTTTTTTTTACAATTTTGTGCATCTTTAGACACACGCACAAAATACGTGCACCTAAAATCTTCACACGTGTACAAGTTTGTCAAAAGCCTTTCTTGTTCACATCAATTATGTATAACAGTAAGCAGCAGTGAGCGTTGTAGCGTGGGTGGAGGAGAAGGCTACAACACAGAGGAGTTAATGGGGGAGGGAGAGAGGTAGGAAGGGAAAGAGACAGCAAGAGGAAGAGAGGAAGAGAGAGAGAGAGAGAGAGAGAGAGAGAGAGAGAAAGAAGGGGGGGTGGAGAGAGGAAAAGAGGGGAGGCGGTTCAGGTTTCCCAGTGTCACAGATGGTGCAAAAAGAAAGACACAGATATGTTACACCAAAAGCATTGTCTCCTCTGTCTTCAACCGAGCTCCACTTTGGCCTGGGTTCCCTCGCGTTTCCTCTCCGTGAACTAGGTCACTAAAACTAACACCAGCTAAAATGTGTAACTTTACAGATGATGTAGAAAATAAATAGTCAATATACACAGTAGCATTAGTATTAGTAAGTAATACTTGGCCTTGAAAAAGTTCCTGGTTTAGATCCTATTTCATTCTTAAAGTCCCGCTTAAGTCTTGGTTGAGTCCAGTTATCTTCTAGTTCGTTAATTCTAATCCCAAGATAAAGTGTATCATGGTTGAGATTTATAAGTTTGATTTTAACATCTGCTTAAAGATGCATTGTGTTAGATTTCTGATGGAAGGTCCATCAAATGCTTTTCTCCATGAAAATGTTATTTCTTTGTCTTGAATGTTGTACAGTATGGTATTGAACCTTTCTATCTTCATGGAGATCAAATCATACCAAATTACAGGTCACATCTGTGGAGTGGCAACCCTGCTTACAGTCAGACTACCTGGTTTACTAGATAATTTTGAGCTATAAAACCACCTGTAATAGGATAAATGTGCAGTAGATCTGTTTAATTTCATACTGTGGAACATTCCAAGGAGAGCAACATTTTCATAGAAAAAAGAAGGTGATAGAACCCCAACCAAAAACTTACATAGTGCACCATTAAGATATGCTTGGGTCTTTTTAATTGAGAGATGAGTGGTCAGTTTGGAGTAGAGTTTGAATTTATAAAATTTTTTGTGTCATATGACAATGATTAAAAGCCTGTATTGTTTGGGTTTAGGAAATTAACGTTAAAATCAATTTCAAAGCCAATGAAAAGGGGAAAAACAATCTTATATCTCTCTACAGGTTGCCAGAACAGATCAGCGATTCAAACATATATTGCAATGTTTTCAATAACGCTTCTGCAAATTTATGTACATTTGTTTCTCTCAGTCAGCGCCTTGCACTAGCCTTGACTGGTCCTCTGTGACTGGATTAGAGCTGAGAAAAGCTAGTGTGTACATTGGGGGTGAGCAGTAGATGGATAGATGGTGTGGATGGTGTAAGTGGCTGGGGAGAGATGACGGTAATGTAGCACTTATTGCAGTGGATCTCGGTGATCTAATCATGACCCCCCCCCTCCTCCTCCTCCTCCTGCACACACCCTCCGCTCTCAGTACGCCCTCAGACAATAGAGACTCAACAGTTCAGATGGAGACGCCTTCAACTGAGGGGGAAGACTGGAACATATGTGGGTTTGGCTAATATGTTCATAAAACTCATGATGATCTGATTTTGATAGGAAGAAGAGGCTTGATATTCCGATACCACAATGATAATGGAAACAATTTTTGGGCAACAGAATGTGTCTTTTCTAAAACAATAGAGCAGTGTCTTTATTATTACAATGTGGCCTTCTACAGTTTATAATACAGATCAAGACCATTTTTTTCATTTCATTTTTCATTTGTTTTTCAACATCAATTGTTTCTAATGAGTATCTAGTTTCTAGTTTTAATACCAAATCTTATTTGAGTATCATTTTCACCCTCAGCATTAATAAACAGATGTTGCGGAAGGTAAAGTAAAGAAAAAGAAAAATCTATATACGTTCTAGGGCTACGTGCTATTGTTGCCTATTATTTGAAACAATGATTTATGTTGTCAAGAGGTACCCTTTAGGGGTAAGTCTAGACGTGCTTTGTGATTCTTGTTTAAAAGTTACTGTAGACTAGATTTGTTCCAGGTTTTACAAGGTTCCCATTTCATTCAGAAGAGAATTAAATTTACATTTTTTTAAGATATGATGAGATATTTATTTCACACTTGATTAGATTTTTATACCAACTCTATTTTTTCGGAGCCTGTGTTTGTTAATGTGGTTGAAGGTTAAATCACTGAGTGAAATGGACTGTGGGAAATGTTTATTTAGCTCTTGAGACAAAACATGCTAACACTTATGAATACACTTATGAAGCTTTATTGCTGCAAATGTCTGTTTAGATAAACCTAAAGAACATACCATGCACTAAGCTGTATGGCGTTTACAATGGGCATATAAATGTGGGATTTTTGTTAGTACAAGTAAAGTGGAAACATGATCAGGACCACAGAAGGCCTGGGTGGGGTCCCGGGGGAGCTACGTTTGTGCATTATCTAAACAGCTTTGGAGAGCATGAGAAGCAAGAATGAGGAAAGCTACATCCAAAAACACACCAGGGTTATTATCATTACTCCTGAAGTCTCGGGCAAAGGGGACCAAGCAGTGGTATGGGAGGATTTTTTGTCAGTGTCACGTCTGTTTTTGTTGTCTTTTAAGTTTTTGTAGACTAGATCATCTTTAGTGATGGTTTAGGCCTATACCAGGAACCAGCCCAGTATTTTTAGACACAGCCATTTCAATTTGTCCAGGTTTACGACTGGCACAAAGGCTTGGTCAAAAATGCATGAATATCTAAGTTGTATGAGCTAGTGTATACGGCCTGTGAAAATAAATAAAGCAGTTCTGGCACAGGACCAAACAGAGCCTAATTCAGATCTACTTCACCATTCTTGAATGAAGCTAGGGCTTGAATGTGCAGAATATAGGAATCATAGTTTTTAGTATCTTATAGAAATTGGAGTTCTCTCAACACTGAAGTCTTACTGTTACTGTATGTAATAAATAATAATTTAAAAACATTTTTGTTTCTATGAAAACATAAGTAAACAAAAACATCTTTAAAAAAGTTGGATCAGCGAACAGTGACGAGTGAAATCACAGCTGGCCATAGTTCCCCTCTTTATGGTATGAAGCTCTTCTGATCCGTCTGGAGGCATAGGCCGGTGCAGTGGTGGCAGATTGGCTGGGAGCATATGGCTAATAGCAGCCCCCTGACAATGAACCACACTGATTAATGGACGCTAGGCTTTTTGTGCATCTCTGGTGTATATGTCTGTTTGGGCCTACGCTGTGTGTAGTTGTGTGTGGTTGTGTGTTTGTGCAAGAGGCCCCGAGCGCCGCATCAGCAGGAGAAAACAGCCTTAAGTTTGACCTCAGTGGATGCTATGGAAAAGCTACTGTTTAGGAAGCCTTACCACAGTAGGAAATGGTTGCAAATATATACCACAGTATGTTTTCTAGCTTTATGCAAAACACTTTACCCATGTTCACAAATCATTCCTTACAAGATGAATAACAATAACTTACAGTAAAACTTCTGGAGAAATACAATTACTTATAAATTCTCCGTAAATCGAATCAGAATTTCAATACAACGCAGTGGTGGAAGCGGCTTGCCCGAGTCGCTGTGGTATAAAATATTATTGGTGCTGATTCTAGGCCTTAAATCCCTGCTTGTGCATATAGATGAACCCCGATTTATATTGTTATAGTTAAAGTTGTTCTGCGACAAGGTCAGGGAATAAGAACAACTTAATTCATGTGCTAAATTTGAATTTTTATCACTGCGTTGTGCGTGCGTGTGCATTTGTGAGTGTGTCCGTGCATATGTCTCTGTATGTGCGTCTATTTGCGTAAAAAAGGCAACCCAGGATGCATATATTTTATAGTCAGATTGCTGGGGAAGGACCATTTGTTAGGCTTGAAACAACAGGAGGCTTGGGATTGACTAATGACTTCTTCTGTGTCCTAATTAACCAGGCGTCACACACATTGTATAGGATAGGTTGGGTAAAACGCCTCTATAAATAGTTGTTCCTCCCAACCTACTTCTCGGAGGAAAATTCATCTTTAGATTATAATTAAAGCGAGCACTCTGAAAGCTAAAACTCGTCTTCGTCAACAGCGCGTAGCCGTGTTGTGTGCGCGAACGTGTGTGGGGGGGGGGTTAACGAGGGTGACACTGTAAGGAATGCATCGAGTCCAGCCCAATGATTTGTAGGACGTTTCTTCGGATGAATAAAGACGGTTGAGAGAAAAAGTAGGGATGGGCTAAATGAGAGAGTCGCAGCTCCGAGGATTCTAGTGTATTGTAGTGTTTAGACAGTTCAGTTCAGTTAGCCTAAGGTTGGACTAAAAGAGATTTAAGTGTTCTAAATGTAAGTATCTCGATGGATGTTTTTGTTATGATAATATGAAGTTTTTTGAGGTTGAAGTCCAAGCTCTGTGTTGTATTGTGTTGTATGTGGGTTTAAACATTGTGGTTACCTGCACATGATCTCGTGTGTGAGAAGCACTCGGCACATCTCTGGGTTCTTGTCTTGTCCTTCGTACACGATGGGCTGAAAGTAAGAGAAAAAACATAGTTCAGATGCTGAGAGAAGGTTTGTAATCTTGTGCACGTCGATGGTGATGATGTAATGTTCTTGGGCTTATGTTCATTAGCCCTGCAAAAGTCATGGCAATGGCAATGTGTTTTATGAAAACAATTTTATTACAATTCATTACAATATACTACAAAACATAAAACAGCAATATGCATTTGGAAAGCATTGCATCCACTGAGACTTTGAACATTGACGCAACTTAAAAAATGACTTAAATAATGACTACATCATCAAACTGCTGCCATTTCACAGACTTGTTCAAAAGTTACCCAATAACATCAACTTTAAAAACTACATTGCGTAGTTGTTACATAATTAGTAGCTTCACCAATCCCGGTAAACAGGAACTTGAACAAAACAGGTATGAAATAAATGTATATGTTTTCACAGCCTCACACTCTGAAAGGTGACAGTCATCGGCTGATAAGTCTTAATTAGTGCTTTTTGGGGGAAAGTGTGCATATTTTGCAAATAACACCTTGGATTGACACTTATTGTGTCACTTCACCTATAACATTAAACACACCCTCAACAGCACATTATTCATTCATATATTCAGAAATTCATATAACAGCTCATGACATTGAAAGCTCACTACTTGTTTCTTTTGAGAGATATTTGATTGCAGATTAAAATTTTTGGAGTATCTCTATGAGGTACTAAACATCACCTAGAATTGGCTATTTGTCTAAATCATGTTTGAATGATATTATATGATGGGGCAAATATGATGGAGACAAACAGAGGATCAACAAGCCACATCTGGCAAAAGGAAACCCTGCTCACAGAAATGTTTGTTTTATCAATGGTTTAGCAACAAACAAAAAAATAAAACCCTGAATAAATGCAAGATAGTTGAACTTCATACTGTGGAGCATTCTAGACAAAGCAATAACAGTTACATGTTTATCAGTTATTGTGAATCAAAGTAGATTAAAAGAAGGTTTTTACTATTATTACCTCCGCCAAGAAGGTTATGTTTTTGCCGGCGTTTGTCTGTTAGTTTGTTTGTTTGTTTGTTTGTTTGTCTGTTAGCAACATAACTCAAAAAGTGATGGACCGATTTTGACGAAATTTTCAGGATTTGTTGGAAATGTGAAAAGGAAGAACTGATTTCATTTTGGGGGTGATCCGGAAGAAATCCTGGATTCTGGATCACTTTGAAATTTTTGTTAACATTGTGGTAAATGGGGCCAAAAATTTTGTTTCTCAATATCTTGGTTAATTATTGACCAAACCCCATGAAATTTGACTCAGGGATGGACAATGGGATCCTCTTTCATATTCCAAATTGAAAGATACGAGACAAATATTTATGGAAAACACAATTAATATGAGGGGGACTGTAGTCCTTGGCGGAGGTCTGCGCTCTCTGAGTGCTTTTCTAGTTTGACTATGGTGTCAATAATTTGGGGTTAGAGTTTAACCAAAAGGTCCTGGGTTCAACTCCCAAACAGCACAGGGCCTTTCTGAGACCAAGAATGAGCCCACTGTTTAGCTCTCCTTCACCTGCTGCCACTATCCTGCATTCTCCTTTCTCAACCCCAGAGCTCAGCCAGCCCTGGTCTATCACTGAGTCGGAGCACACCCCCTCCATGTCTTTGGTCTATTCCCGGGTGTTTGAAGTGTCGCGCTGGATTCCAGCGCGTACGGACCACTCGGCTCTGAAAAAGTCGCTCCGTCCTTTCCAATCACATCACGTTTTTTCACTGCGCCATAAAGTCAACAGCGTTTTCAACATCACTCACCCTCCATACAAATTCATACTTCTCATTTGACTGACATGCTCTTAGAAACTGAATATAGAAAAGTGCATACTGCTGTATATTTTTAGCTCAATTGTTACTTATTATTAATGCAACTACAACTATCACAAGATGTCCAGCTGCTATTACTACTAATCCAAGAACATTTAAGACAGACAGAAGTACCAAAAATATATTATTATTTACACTGCTGCCACTGTTAGACAAGCCGAACATGTATCAACTACAAGTTAGCGTATAATCCAAATATGTCACAATTTTGGTACCTAGAAAAATGGACAGTTGGCATTTTATACTATTTTATACTATATTTTTACTACTACTAATACTATTACCATTACAACAATTGCGCAATATGGCAAAACATTTAATCGCAATTATTAGTCCTATTGATTAGTATTGATTTCCTGCATATAATCAAGTCTTGTAATCAATGCCATTTTTACACAAAGATAAGTTAAATTTCTTTTCTTTCTGATCCTTACTGATACTGATACTGATACTGATACCGATACTGACCTCTCAATTTGAAACGACTGAAACTCAGTCTCGATCCTTCCAACACTGCCAGTAAGGATCACAACTTAACACTGAAAAAAACCTAACAGTGACTGACAAGTAGCAATGTTGTCCTGATATAGTACATTTCAATACACATATAGCTTTATTTATAACCCTTTGTTGACACTTTAAGGCTGACCTATTTCTGCTATTGTGGTGTCAGTATTTTTTGTAATTTATTCACAAATCCATAAACAGAGAGAGCGAGCATTAGATGATTTTCTTATAATTCATATTTAAATTTTACTTCATTAATAACTTGTGTTTTTAACAAATGCAGTTGTATTGTCTGACCTAGTTGCGCGCTCACCAGTTAATCACATCAAAATAGTAAAAGAAAAGGTTGGCTCCCAAACATGCATTTATTAGACAGATTCATGCTGCTTTAACAAAGTGGGTTCAAATATATTACATTAATGAGGTGTTACATACTCAGCCTGGCAGACTTAGATGAATTGCTCCAAATAAGTACTTAAGTAAATACTGCTATTTTATATTATTCTTCATTAGATAGTTACTTCAAGATAAAGTGTTTTCAATACAACGTTGATTTAGTACTTATTAACGCAAACTAGTATTACTCTTATATTGGCAGGGTTAATATCTTCTGTCCACCACTATTTCAACTGTACCAATCAAAGTAAATAATTAGTTCTACCGACAGATTTGGGAAAAATATCTATTGTAATTGCAATTTTTCTAACAAGCATTGTGATTAGAATTACAATTTGTGTTTTAATAATAGAATTCTGTCCACATTTTATATTTTTTGTTTATATTCCAAACGTGTCTGGGAGGGTCGACCAAAAAAAAAAAAAAGTGACAAACAATTACAAGAATCACATTTCAGAAGATGTTTGTACAGATCTAAACTACAGGGTTAGCAGTTTTTATGCAGAATAAGACACGGTATTTTGTTGTTTGTGGGGGAAATTACGGAATTTCCAAAACTGCAGCCTATATATGCGAACTGCGTCCATTTGAATTGTGATTTTGATTCGATATTGATTCATCTTGTAGCACTAGTCACAAGAGAATTAAATAGCCTCCGTGGGACCTAAACCCGCTAACCCTGTAACTTAGACCTCTATACACATGTTCTGAAATGTGTGTAGATCTTCCCTTAGTTGAGCAGTAAATATAATAGTTTCCTCTCAAACGTGAATTCTCCTTTATACGCACTATGAACAGAATCTTGCTTTTAAAACAGTAAAAATCCAATTGTGAACTTTTTTGAAATGATATGTAAAAATAATGATGATGTATATTTTACACAACCAAACTGACTTGGCGCCTAAAGGCAAACATGTACACACCGGGGCCTTAAACACTGTGGTCCTCATTTGTTTGAACCACACAAAATAAAGCAGTCATATAAAGCTTATGTAAAACCGCGATGTAAAGATCCGCTCCGAGCTCCGAGCCATAGTGAAATAACAGTCCCATAACATATCTGTGGAATTGCAGTTGTTGTAGCCTGCAGCCTTTGATACTAATAGCTCCTCACTATGAGCAGGGGAATTGGAGCCCCATTGATTTCAGTGCTTTAGGCGTGTGTCAGTCATAATTTTCTGTGAATGAGCAGAAATTCAACTTTAACAAAATACACGTTGCAATGTTTTTAGACTTCTTTCCTGTAAGGCTCTGGTGGTCCACCGCTCCAGGCTTCAATAAATGCAAGAGGAGTTAGAACTCAAGAAAAGTGGTAATGCTAAGCAGAAAACTACTACTTCTGTAAAGGGACGTGTTGGCAAATAAGATGCTGCACAGAATCTAAGCTGCATTCACAGTGTAAATGCGTGCAAGAAACTTTAGGGCTGGGCCAGATCATATTGCTCATAGTATACTTTTGTTGGCTTTAGGGTGATATCAGATTTGAATATTGTGAGATAATTTGCATATACGTACTGCCGGTGGTTCTCATCTTAGACAACAAGGTGGGCAAACATAAAAACTGGCAGCTACTTAAAAACTTACTAACTACTATTAACTATAACTTAAAGAGCAGGCAACAATTCAGCACTAATACGTACATGTTCCTGTATTGTCAGTGTAGCAATATCACAAATTTAAACTTCTCTACCCACAGAGCAGGGAGCAGGCTAAAGTGGGAGCCATTCTGCAACCATTTCCTCTCTCACCACCACCAATCCCACTACACTAGCACCTTCATAAACCACAACAGCAAGCACCAAAGTCAAGTTAATATGGGTGAAGTGTTTTGCCAAAGGACATAACAGCACTGATAAAATATACCATAAACGTTCCACACTGCACGTCCTTGGGCCTGATGGTAGTTGTCCCGGTGACCTCAGTACAGGTCACTTCCTCTCTGCTCCGGACACAGATTCGCCATCAGTGTCATCTAGACCTCCCTTTTCCTGCGTGTCTTTCTCACGTTTTGTTGTTAAAGAGGTGCTATTATGCAAAATGTTTGTTTTAGCTTTCTACCACGTTATAATGTTCTCTCATCAAAAACATGCCTGAAGGGATTTTAAATGACATCCATGTATGTTTGAGTATTTTAGTAATCTCTCCTTGGCCCTATATAAACCCTCCTGAATCTTACAGCTTCCTTACAGAAAGCTGTAAGATTCTGTACAAAGCTCAGCCCATAAGCTTCCATAAATATTCTCCATAAATATACAACTTGACAAACCTGACACCATGTGCAGTAGTTTCATTAGTGGGATGTACGCTGATTGTGTTGTGACAGTGCTCTGAAGGGGGAGTGACTTAACGAGGTGAGAAAAGGAAAGGGAGACTCAGAGCATCAAAAACTAAAGTGAAACTTGTAAAACATGGTAATGTGTGTTTTATTTTGTTTTTTTTTACGTGAATATAGCATTTTCAAAGACAATAAAAAGTAACATGGTGATGTAATGTTATGTGCTAGCAGTTAATACGAAGTAAATTACCCAGTCTTTAAAGTGAACCCGCCCACAAGAGCAGAACAGGTCTCCACACCTTCACTGGAGCTGAGCATTCATCTCCTGAACAGAATCAGGCTGAGGTCCTCCCAAAACCCACAGAAAGGCCACGGCTGTCACCTGATCGCATGACACAAACACAGCTTTGTACTCTTTGTCTAACAGTCACTTTAAGCCCCTATTGTGCCCCTATTGTCCAGCAGGGAGTCGAACCGCCCCAACCAAGAAACAAAAAGGAACTGATACATCCATAAAGTCAGGTGCAAGCAACAGAGGTGGAAGAATTACTCCAAATCTTGTAAATCTGTAATGTGTTATGACTTGTGGACTTGAAAAGAGGCTAAAAGTATTGAATGCTGACTTGAAGTAGTTGACAGTACTACAAGGACCTGCTACTACTAGTGGGCTATATATAACTCACACTACAATAAGCAATAATGTAACTCATACCTTGCTAAGACAACCACTACTACTGTTATTGCTGCATGCATAGTAAATGTATTAAAATAAACCAAATAATATAGAAAATAAAGAAATATTATTACTCCCATTACTACTTGCTAATACTTACTCATAGTACTGTCCTTCAGCACACTGTTACATACCCATTTTCCAAGTAAATTTCAAATTATTATGTAATTATTTGTAACTAATTTGTTGATTTTAATGAAGAAGACTTTGGTTAAGCATCATCTTTTTTCCGTAAATGTGTCACAATAATTACAATATCAACTTATCAGTCAATACAGTATATGAAAACTAGAACAATATTTTTTTTTGGAAGGAGCAGTATTTATTGTAGGCAAAGCACTAGTGGGATTTTTTTAATTTGTACTACACTATGATTTGAGCCATAGAAGGTTGAATAAATAACTTCTATAACTCATTCTAGATAACAAACTAAATACTAAAGTGTTTCATTCTGTTATTTATTTATTTCACTTTGTGTTTCTTAACCATACCATAAATGTAGAAAGTTTTATGTTGAGATAATGCTGCTTTATTGTGTCAGTGGCGTACATTAATTTCAGTATTATCGTTGATCGCCTTTATTTATTACAGTAATATATCTCTCTTCAAAATGTGTTATTGCAACAGGCCTATGCATGCGAATTATAGATTTCAGTTACTTCCTCTCATCGATCAATCAAAGCCATGAGATGCCACACATAGAGCAAGCTTAAGGACATTTCTTAAATAAAATCACAGCTTTAGTATCCACCTGCGCTAAGGAAGCAGGTTACTGTTTGAACTCTGGCTATTAAGATGAATGAGGCCAGTGTTAATTTATCCAGCTCTGTGTCAGACTCTGTAATAGCTTCGCCCCCTTTGGCGTCTCTAAACTTAAGTTTCTCCCTCGGCTGTGTCCTCTTTCCCAACTTAAACCATCTGGATCCACACAATGACACCAAGAGTAATTTCAGAATAATATTTAGTTCGGGCCAGTTTGACGAGCTCTTGTTAAAAGTGGGTCCCAGAGTACGTTTTCTTGGGTGTTTCATCAAATTGTCACTTAGGCGGCTGCGCTCTATTCCTTTCATCTGCTTTCCCCTGTCTCCTAGCTTCTCTCCTCGGCTCCTCTCCTAGCTCCTTTGAAGCGGTGTGACATGCGCGGCGTGTAAACAAGGCGGCGTTAAGCAGGGAACACACTTCGCCCTGCGTTAGTGTCAGCAGGAGGAGTGTCTGGGTGCCACAGACACACGCTTAAACATGAAGCACTCATTTAAGGAGCAAGTCAAGAGTGGGAGGGGTCTGCTGCTGTTTACCACCACCATCAGTGCTGGGCGGAACAGGTAGATAGATAAACAGATACACAGATAGATAAAGAAGCTCACTGTTTCAATGCCATCACGTTTGTGTGGGAAATAAAAACATAAGTCATAAGGCCGTTCGTTAACATGCAGTCCCCACTAACTAAACTATTTATTCATTTATTCATTATAATTATTTTTTTATATATATATATTTTAAAGCATGGTGGTAGTTTGGTCTTGGACTTTCCACAGATGCACCTGTCTACAGCTTGCAAACATTTTGGTTAGTAGAACTTAGTAACGATGGATGATATGTGATATAGCCTTGCACTTTAACCTCAAAATAAATGTCATAAAATGCAAAAGGGCAAACTAAAGTATATCTTTTGGAGCAATGTGCTGACTATATATTGCTTTTTAATGACTTATAATGTCAATCAATCAGACTTTATTTATAAAGCACTTTTCATACAAAAAAATGTAACACAAAGTGCTTTAGAGTCATAAAAAATCCCATCTTTAATAAATACTACTACTGCTGTTTTGGTAGAGTTAAGACTCGAGGCAGTGCAGTCAAGTAATGCATGCTATTCAAATCTGGTGAATCAAGGATATATATATATATATTTTTTTTCTCACCAGTATATGTTGAGACACAGCACACCAGCAGCCCCTGAAGAGTCTCTGTAATGAGACGAGTGTTGGCCGTGGTTCTATTGACTCCTGTTTAGGTCACACCACCTGTTGGCACGGCCAGCACTAACTCTCTATTTATTTATTTTAAGCAAGAAGTGTGTCATGAGCAAAACAAACACAAAGTGATACAGTAGAATACTATCTATCTAACTTTCCCAGTGGAGGTCCACCATCTGCTTGTTTCCATGGAAATGTTATCACGTTGCATGGAATGTTCCACAGTATGGCATTAATCTTATCTATGTCAAATGAAACATAGAGGTGACGCCACTAGGCCTTGTTACAGATCAGATCAGCGGTGAATTACACTGTACACATTCTGTATACACACTCAATGCACAACATAATTTAAACATGCCTGTATTTCTTTCCTTATTACAATCTCAACCTCATACAGTTCTTGGCCACATGTTCCCAGTTGGGCCAGCGTTCACATGCAGGTGCCTTGTACACCTGCACCAGTCCAAGACAAATGACTTCCACAAACCTAAAATTTTGTGCGTTTACGCTCAAAACGCATTCAAATACAGCAGCGTTTTGCCCTGGACTTCCACTGGGACTGAGGCCTGAACAGCTTACGCCGCCAGTGTGTGTGTTTTGGAGTGTCTCTTTAAGCCTGGGCTAAACTGTGTTATTAGTGAACAGTTTGTCTCTAAGGCCTGCCAGACTTCAGCACTATGTGAGGTGCGAGACTAGAGTGTAGGGTCAAAGAATGCATTTGGACTGCATTTACAACCAAACTCATTCTGGGGCTGAGCTTTGATTGAAAGCAATTGACCTTATAGCATGCTTATCTAGATTAAAAAAAAAAAAAAGTCAACTATGACTATTATAACAGCACAGAAAAGTAGCTACACCTAGTTGCACAAAGAAAGCAACACCCCAAAACATATAAATAGCAAAGGAGGAAGTTAAGTGAAATGCAAATAAATCTAGAGCACTCATGCATGTGTAATGAGACAGCAGCTATAATGGAATGGCACTGTCTAAACTAAACTAAGAGCTTGACACTTTTAGACAAGCTCATGAGGTACTGTATTTTCAAGTACAAAATAATATGTACCTTCCTTCCAAAAATAACAAATTTTTGTTGGTTGGTAGATGCCACGCTTATGTTGTTTCATTGCTGCTTATTACTGCTTATCTAATAAAGCTAATATAATAAGAGATATTTATAATTGGTAACAATGTGTCATCAAGTAGGAATTAGGAGGAATTTAACAGATAAAACTGTTTGGAAGAGTCCACCTTGAGGCCTGAATATAACTCAAGTGCAAACATCTACAAATACAGAAATGTATATAAAAACATATTTGGGGGAACAGACGCATTGTTTTTACCTTTAATATAATAATATAACTTTCATGTGGGGTGTAGGAGGTAATATTAAACAAGGAAATTCACTGGCCTCTCCTCTATCTCCACATATAAATACCTCAAACAGTAAGAAAATAGCAAAATCGGACATGATCAGAAACACCCATCTATGCTAACAGCAGACCGTCTCCCAAAGGTGCTGTTACATCTCTCCACTTCCCACTGTGAGCAACTCCTGTTCACCAAGCACCGCACGCTGCCTCCTAACTCTAATCACAGCAAGAAGAAACAGACAAAAAAAAAAAAGATTGAAAGAAAGAAAAACGCCTCAAGCTATTCACTTCCAGTGTATGTGAACCCCCACCCACGAGGCTATGGAGGAAACACCCACCCACGCTCACGAACAGGGGTGAGAGAGGGAGAGGGAGAAGGAGAGAGAGAGGAGGGCGGTGAGAAGAACCGGATCATTGTAGGAGCTTATTGTGACTACGGTAACAGGAGAGGGACAAACCACTGGGACAAGACAAGGAGAGAGTGTGTTTACCTGCTTCGTCATGGAGTCAATGAGGCGCACGTAAAAGTCTTGCTCTGTTCGGATGCCTGTCAGGAGAGAGACAGAAAAAGCATGAGGATCTGAATAAGTTACTTAATGTTGGGAGTAATATTAAGTACTGAAGGGGTTAACATTTTAATATCCAAACAAGTTAATTCTGAATACACGATAAAGTTTGTTCACTAAGTTAGAGTTGTAATTTTGGGAATGTTTACTTATTCTACTCATGCATTATTTTAACTGCCATAATTCATATTTTTTATTAATAACTATTCTTTTTGCTCTTTAAATAAATATTTTATTATGTATTTTTAGTTATGGTTATCATTAGAAGTCAGGAAAAGAAAGGTATTTGCTTTTTGGTTGCAACTTAGAGCATGATACCTTATCTTATTTTAATGCATGCCCTGATTTTATTTTATCACAGCGTTTTATTTATTCTTTGTTTAATGTTGTACCATAACACTGAAGCACATTCCTAGTTTGTAAATTTTTTTTCTCTTGCAATGGAAATAAAACATTCTGATTCTGATCTGTTTCTGATGATACAGCCTTGTGATTTAACCACAAACAAAATGGAATAAAATACAAAAAAGGGCAAAGTAATTTTATATTTTCTAGCAATGCATCAACTATTTTTTCCTTTTTAAACATTCCCTCACAAAACACTGCTCAGTTTAGTTTTAGTTAGCCTACCAAAGCGATTACTAAAGTCACAATGGTTTTCACGGTCGGAATTCTAACTTACTGTTTAAATAACCTTCTCTGAAACCTTTATTGTTCTTTTACCACAATAACAACACAAATCTTTACGTGACATGAAGCCTATAAAATGATTCTGACAGAAAATATGCTTTTTACCCAACTGGCAACAAAGGATTTAGTGAGGACTTATGATGATTTGCACATGTGCCCAATCAAATCCAGCACTCACGGTCCACAAGTTGTAGCTGCAGACTGTTACACTGGAGTTTTGATTTCCCTGCCAGCATTCAGCTCAAAGGGCCCAGTCACCACAAGCCACACAACAAACAATCACTGACACTAACAATGCCTGCAAAGTGTCAAACAGAGAAAAGCATGGGAAAATCATTGAAAAACCACAACATATTGCTTTGGGTGCTTTAAAGAGTGTAGTTTATCCAAGATTTGGTCACATTACATGCATCAAACACAATAGACGACAGTGTATTTGATATTTGAGCCACGTTGGCCTAAAGCAACTGTTAGAATTTCCGCTGCGTAAAATGTAAACGCTATTAATACTGTGTGAAGAAAGTGCATTAAGCTAATTGTGAATAGCGTTGACTCACCGTTACTGTACAGGAGCTGCAGACGGTAATGAATCCCATTATTGGTCTTTTCACCGCTCGTCTCCTTCACAAACACACAGAACAAAGCCATAAAACATTTAGCACATTATAATTTTAAAGTATAAACAAGCACCGAGGCCTAAGTTGAGGCAACACGCACTAAAACAACATGTGATTTACAGCGGGCTAGGGTTATTTCCACGTGTAACTGCGGCGTTGTTGTGGCTTTTTAATTTCTCTTAAATTACTACTTGCGCTTTAAGAACAAACCAATCCAACATTTCATCCGAGTTTATTCACAATGGCCGTGGTATGTGATGTTATTTATTTAGCAAAACAAGATTAGATTACTGTTTATTTAATGTTGAACTTCGACAAACAATTTTAGCTTTTAGCCAAAATGCTACAAATAAAAGCGAAGAAGATAAATTGAACGTGCAAAACCGGAAATTGAAATTATAAAATAAATTAATAAATAAAATAATTAATAAATAAAAATAAATAAATAAATGTATTCGTCAAAAATGTATTAATATTTAGAATGTAATATTTTCTGTTATAACGCGTTGCATCTTTTATATTTGCTATTTTATAGATTTTTAAAACCTTAATAGACATTGAATCCCGTGGGGAATAAGGCCTGCAGGCTGTCAAACGCTTACATCACGATGGTATTACCGCCTTTGGAATAACCCTGATTGTTTTAGATGAAATGACTAACCTTTTCTTTCTCGATGAAGTCCACAAAGCTGGTCCTCTCGATCTCCACGGGCTGCCCCTGTCTGTCGTACAGCGCCAGCACGAAGTGGAAGAAGTTGGACTTGCGGAGGTTAGAGGGCGGCTGCTTCTCAAAGTGTGCCCGGGCCAGACCCACTCCGCTGCGAACACACGCCATCAGCCAGTGTTAGCAATGGATTTGACTTTAGTATGTTTATTATATACCACTAAATAATAGTGGCAATCAATCCAACCAAAATATTTCTTGCAGCCTTCTAATTTGCTTGCCTATTTAGTGACGGGAAGTTGTGATTTGATATGAATAAAAAATAGTCAGAAACTGCATTTTGATTTATGAATTTATGCATGCACTTCTAGTTTTAAAAAGTTAATTTATTCCAACCAATATTGTCACTGTTTACATGCTCTGAATAGTAGCTCTAAATTGGCTTTTGTGGAAATTATAACAACTTTTTGAAAGGATTTTTAATCACATGGCGAATATCAATTGTTAATACATTAATTTAGTAAGACACAGCCTATGTTACTGTGGGTGCGGGGGAAAGGGCAAAACAATGCGTGCGTAAAATATGGATTATTTTGCATTTGTTTCTATTGGAATATGAATTGCAGTCACATTGGTCTATAGGTCCTTTCCTTATATCTCCCACTGGTCACATCACAAAGTTTAACAGAGGCGAGCCTGGCACAAACTGTGATTTTCCAAACGCCGAAGTGTTGATGGGCTGCTAAATCTTCCCCTGGCTCACCTTTGCGCGGCTGTGTTGGCGTCCAGCACGCCTCCTCCCTGCATCCAACTCCGGACGGCGTTCATCCCTCCCAGCGGCTCCTCTTTCAGTCCGCTGCCGCTTCGCTGGATGCTCTCTTGGATTCCGAACATCAACACTCCGCGCCTCTCCGCTTTTTTATCTTTTACCTGTCCTTACGTCCTTGTTACTTTCTGTTGCACTTGTTCTTGGCACAGCCCGCTGAGTCTACAGTCCCGTGAAAGAAGTGCAGGCTACAACAGTGCAAAAAGCATGTTCAAAGTGTAAATTCCCCAACGCGTAAAACGTGATTGAAAGCCGAAAGGTGTTTCAAAGTGCGTCCTAGTCCACGGAGCTGTCACACGGGCCGATCACCAAGCGCTCGTGTCACATGTCAACAATGTATGACACTTTCTTTCTTCCTCGCTTCCTCTCCGCTGCGGGACTTGTCCGTGTCGTGTGTGATGCTCGGAGCTCCGCGCTGTGCCTCTTCCCAAAGGACTGTGGGAGAAGACGCGAGCACTGGGGAGAGAGACAGCCCGGGATGGGAAGTGGAAATAGGGGAGGGGACCACGATGATGGAGACGCCCCCAAACAAAGGAGAGAGTGGAGTGAGGTCCGCCCCACGCATCGCCTGCTGAGTGTGGAGTCGCACTCTCCCTGCGCTCTTCTTCACGTGAGGCGAAGAGGCGCACTGAGACGGAGCAAGTGTCTGATCTGATTTGGGTGTCTGAGAGATGGCAAAGAAGTGGAAGTTTATTTGTATTTATGGCAGTGGTGGTTCAGAAAATTGATGCGTAAAATCATCTCTGTTCAAGGTTCTCTTTAACGACGCGGCGTTTCTTGAGCTTGAACAATGCATAATTTAGAGTCTGGCAATATTTCAAAGATTATTTAAAAAAAAAAAAAAAAAAACTTAGATAGTTCTCTTGATTTTAATCACGTTCAGTCTTATCATGTTGGAGTAAAGAACTGAAAATTGTAGAAAGGGACATTAATTCTTATTGGAGATTATGTAAATGCTTTTATTTTGGATGGAGACATAGATGAGGCTTTAGTTGATGATAACGGTTCTGGGCCAAAAGTGCGCACATTAAATTCGCAAAAAACACCTCTGTTCAATATATTAAGCTCAACACAAGGTTCTTGTTTAGTTGGATGGATGTCTCAAACTTTTACGCACAGCGCTTGACATGTTTTCTGTAGTCAGTTGTGATTCAAAACCTCAAACATGCTTTAACTCTTCATTTTTATTTAGCCAGCTGGTTAGGTACAATTATGAAAGCCATATTTCACAGTCAAAACATATCCGTGGCCCCATTGTCTTTCGGATAGGAGCCCTTATTGCAGAGCAGCGCCGCAAGACACACAAACAAAAGTGACAATAACAATAATTAGCTCAATATAACAATGAACATAATTGAGGATAATTGCTAGCAGATTTCTCTCCTTTGTCTCTCCCTCCAGCTCCATCTGTTATTTCAAACAATTCATCACGTCGCGACGCACACAGGGAATCAAAACAAAACACAAATATTATTAACAGGAACGTAGCGGTGTCTTTTAGCCAAATGACGCTACAGCATATCGATCTGTTAAGGTGCGAAAGGTCAACAACTTTGGTATTATTCAGCCGCGCGCAAGGATGATTGGCAGCCGGTCCTGGCGCGGCTCCAGCCTCTAATTCCCAAAGGTTATTGAAAAACGCTCTTGACCTTGATTATGGAGAATGAGAGTCTTTTATGCGTCGGTTTCCTGCTTCGAGATGAGACACTGTGGCACAACGGCCTTTTACAGGGTCCAAGCAGCTCACAGCTCTACCAAGAACAGCGCGTAATTTGTGTTAACGAGCCGGGCTGGATCGATCACAACGGGACGCCAGAGCCACTGGACAAAAAAAAAAAAAAAAAAAAAAAAAAAAAGGAAAAAGACAATAATAATAATAAGATAATAATAATAATAATAATAACAACAACAACATTGATCTCAACACAAGCGGCAAACAAACACAAAAGTTGCAAGAAAATAAAACTCTCTACGTAATAAAATAAAATGTGCACATCTGACAAAAGCAGATCAGTAATCAATTATTAGCCTACGTTTAATTAAATGATAGAGGAGCCTAATCTCTCTGTAATGGTCTTAATTATGGATAAAATATATTTTTAAAAATGACTTGAAAAAATACTGAGAAACAGTTTCATAGTAAATGTAGTTATAAAATGCTTTTCAATAGGAAGGATGCCCCCGAAGCGCTCTTGCGGGATGGTCAGAAGGAAAGACGCTCACTGCTAAAGCAGCACAACAACGCCATCTCGTGTCTGACTTAAACAACTACAATAGAAAAGTGCAGACCGAGCTAAGGTGTTGGGGGTGGGAGCCTCAACCACTTCTCGAGAGGTCATGAGGTATGGGTCTAAACGTCAACCGAAGACTTGGCTCTGGCTGGAGATCTTGTGCAAAAAATGTGAGTTAGACCAATATGTAGACTATATGGTAAACCTGCAATCTAAACATGTATTGTGCCCATTTAATCAATTGTTCTAACAACCACATCCACAAAGTATATGGACAAATATGCATTTATGCTCTCCTTTCATCTTATTTTATGTATTAACTATTTAAGCTTTTACTTCCTGAAAGCTATAGCCACGTAACACCAGTGAAACTATACAAATTCAAAGTGGATCGTTCATTTTATTTCTCACATTCAGTTTCGTAGCATAACCAACAGAGTAACAGTAACAGTTTTACAGAGGAGGTCGTTATTGATTCAAAAATGTATTTGTAAAATGGTATACTGACAATTACGTCAACAAAATCTACGAGGAGCATCCATCAACAGGGGCCAGAAAGTGGTCCAACAGAAGCAACAGTAACAAACAGCTGGCTTAGGTCTATAACAAAAATGTCAAGCTAAGTATTTTTCTAGCAATTTTAGGAAGGAAACACAAAACAGTTTACTTTTCTCTTAAGAATACTAAATAGTGCAAGTTTCAAAAATACTAACATCTGTGAATGGAGTTGGCACTCAAGAATAAAAAAGTTGACTGAACAATGCCATATCTTTGGCAAACACAGTTAGTGATACTGTCTATAATGTAACTACTGCTAATTTGAATTCAAATACAAATGGCCATTGTTTATGAAATAATACTACTCTAATGCTGCTGAGAATACTGTTGCTTCTTTCAGGTACCACAACACTGAAACATGGTTTTGGGCACAAACAGAATATATCTCTAAAGTTCATTACATCTAGAATTCTTCATCACAGTTGTGATTTTTCCAATTGGCATATTGGCTTTCTTACTGTGAGAAAGTGGAAGCAAAAAAAAAAAAAAAAAAACATAAAAGAAGATGGTAGAGGATGAAGACTTAAGACTCAGAAACTCCAGAGGAACGATTACAAAAAATTACATTATGGAGAGACAAAAAGCTTGCACAAAAAAGCATGGATTTGTTCTCCCATTCTGAATATCTCATAAGTGCTCCATTGAAAACAGTCAAATTCTTCTAGCCATTTAAGTGCTTAATTTCAAAGTAGAACTGTAAAGAATGAAGAATAAAAAGTAGTCATTCAAGATTATGCTGTATATTCACCTCTTTGAGAAACCTGTGCAAAATACATTTCTACATTTCAGCTTTTAAAAAAGAAACACAATGAGTTACATAACGCTGAGCAAGAATGATCCTACAAATAAACTGTATTCATACATAGTCCTGCCTCAGCGCATGCCAGAAAAAAAGTCATTCATAGCAGTAAGACCATATCAACAATAGTCCTAATAGTAAATAATACTGTCGACTTGTGCTATGTCCCGTCATTCAGCGCCTTGCTAATCCCACTCCTACCAGTAGAGGGCATTGGAGTGATCACATCAGCTTTACAGCACTTCATATCGACAGGAGAAGCAGTAACACTGGCTGGTTGAAAGTTGCTTGATTTTCTCAAAGCTGTTTTAAAATATACTAAAGCTATAGAGAAACCAAGCCCCAATCAACACTGTAACTATGATTCATACATAGCAACATGAATAATATAATTACACACAGATTTTAGGAAAGTTTGGTAGCCACAGCTTTGGAGCGTTGCGAGTAGAAAGAACATTAGTGCAATAGCGACCCAAAATAAAAGTAAAATTAAAAAAAGTGGCAAAAATACAGTAGCAAAGGTAGCATAGCTTAACAAATGTTAAAATGGGTGTAGTGGCAACAGGCAAGCTCTACGTACAAGCGTGCATCAGATTATAGCATATATGAAACATTTAAGAACCACGTTTTCATTACAATCCAACAAATGCTGGAGTGTGTCTAAAATGTCCAATTAGCTGGTACTAGTGACAATACAAATTCAAGTGACAGGGCAGCATATTTTTGATTAAGGTTGATGTGATTATATTAGCATGCCCTAGGTTTCTACAAGCGTGAAGGATGGCTCAAATGATTTACTTGTATTTTAAGCTGTTTGAAATGAGTACCATAAAACAACCATTTATAAAAAAGCAGTGTAAAAATAACTTTATATTTAACAGTATAATAGGTTTGGCTGTGAGAATGTATTTTGTTGGGACCAGCCAAACAAGTCAGATCTGAGCAATGAGTTAAAAAAGAATCAGTTTGCCACATGGAGGCTTAAAGGTGCAGTGTGTAGGCCTTTGGCGACATCTGGTGGTGACATGAAACATTGCATTTTTTTCTTTCTGTCTACAAAATAGTTGTTATTAAGTGTTGTATAGACAGAGTTTGTTGTTTTCATAGGTATACAAGTGTGAAATGCAAGGTAATGTGTTCAAAGCAACAAAATAATAATAATAATACAGAGGCTCCAATCAAATCAAATACAGTAAGTTGCTTGATCGATATCATGATATGGAAATGAAAACGGAATTACCTGGATCTACACGAGACCTGTAAATAAAAAAGCAAACATAGCACCAAGCCTTAGATGTTTGATGGCATCGAGAATTATATATCGCTCCACATTAAAACTTTTTATGAAATGTTAAGACCTATTTGAGGTCCAGCCATAATTGATAGTCTTAAATCTGTTTAAACCATGGCACATGCTGCAGAGGAAAGTAATGAAGTCCCAATACCACAAATAGTACAGCAGCAGTGGCAGAGAGCGGCAAAAATATAAATTTGAAAGTTCTGCATGAAATGGTTGGAGTGAAATAGTAAGGATGACTTTGTAAACTGATTAAGAACTTTTGATGATTAGAAAAGATGCTTCAGTTCTTTAGAATTTCACATTTCCTGGACATGAATGACTGCATGACTTCTCCCACATCTGGATAGAAAAAAATCCTGTTGCACTTTTGGTATAATGAAAAAGATAATTCAGCCCATCCTTCTGAAATGCTTTAAAGAACCACTTTACAGCACAATGCTAAGAGAGGGAGATGTACATCATGGATATCTGAATCATATTTTGAAAATAAATTATGATGATTTTGATAATATGTGAAGTCATGTGGCTCAGTGATAGCTTTCTACTGCCTCTTCTTTTGCAGAAGACTAAGAGGGTCAGCCTGCGAGGGGAACTCAGAAGAGGATTCTGGGTATTCTGTGTTTGAGATGGGCTCAGAATCAGAGATGGCCGTGTTGGCTTTAGCCGTTGGCTCTAAAGACAAACCATGAGAATTTGAGGGAGGGGTTAGAGAATTGTCCTCTTGTGAGTCAGCAGGATGTGAATGAGGCTTATGATGAGAGCTGGATGAAGGCGCAATTTTGAGATGTTGAGAACAAGTGTACTCCGTATTTGAAGAATTATCAGCGGCTCCTTCGTCTTCCTCTTGTCCTGATCCCTCTCCATGTGTAAGTGCATTTTCTGCAGAGGTGGCATCTTCTTGCTCAGGTGTGGCCGCACCCTCTTCCTGACCAGCAGGGTGGGGGTCGGCAGCGGCGGGACCGTCCTGGGTGGGGGTGGGTGGGGGTGCTGATTGGCTCTTGAGCTGTGAATGACAGAGAGGGCAGGTCTCCTGGACGTAGAGCCACTTCTTCAGACAGCCAGCGTGGAAGAAGTGACTGCACGGGGTGATCACAGCACTATTCATCTCCTAAAAAGAACAAAAGAGTATATATATAGTTATGATCATATAACTATATAACTATATATACAGTCATATAAGCTTTGTTTTATTTAATAAGACCATATGGTGACTGCATTTTGACTTGCTAGCAGATAATTCTATTCTCACTCAGACATAGGCTGAGGTAATATGGCAAAAAAAAGAGGAAAGATTCTCCCTCATGTCAGTCAATTGATCAATCTCACTTTTTTTTTCAAGTTTAGAACAGTTTTTAGAACTACATTTTGTACAGCCCCACATAGAAGTACTCCTTTAAATAGTAATACATAGCTAGAACTCCACCACATGACTGTAAAATGAATATAATCACACTAGTTATAAAGTTTACCTGGTAGCAGATAGCGCAGATGTCGTTGTACTGCTCCAGTTGGGAGCTGCTGGCTGTGGGGAGGCTCTTGATCTTGTTGACGGCGTCTCTTCGGAGAAGGAAGCTCTGCCAGCCCAGCTGCGCCCGCAGCCACACGTTGTAATACGAGTGCACCAGGATGATGGTACTGCCCATTACACTCCACTCTCCAAAAACTGTCTCTGACACGCCGTAGCACACCACACACACAGCAACCTGCACACAACACGAAAGCCTTTACTTTATACCCAAGACAGTCATTTACTATTGGTTGTACTTGTAATTGTAACTTGTCATTTAGTTTCATTATGGTTTAAAGTTGTAATCAAATGTCATGGTAATTTAGCAGCCTAAATAATTATATTGCTTCAAGAGTCTTCTGCCTCAAGACTGGAAAATAAAAAAAATAATAAAGAGGGGTTATTAACTGCTAACACAACATAAGTAGATTACCAAGTTATGGCTAATAGTTTTGAAAATAGTATCTTTGCTATATTTTCATCATCCCCTCCCTTTCCTTCCTGAGTTAAATCAATCTCCTTTCAGAGAACTATCACAACACCATCAGCATGCATCCTGCTAATGCACATCGCAGGTTGTCAAAATGCTGTGCACAGTTTTGTATCATATTTTTGAATATCTATGGAGAATAGTCATGTGGGAACGAGGGTGATATAGGCTTGTGGGTTTGTGGGCTTAGCATTGCACAGAATCTTACAACTAACCGCAAGGAGGAGGAGAAGGGCCCGGGAGAGGTCACTAAAACACTCAAACATGTATGGATGACATCTAAATTTCCTAAGGTTATATCACACTAGAAAACTTAAAAACATAAAATAAACTGATTTTGCATAACACCCCCTCTTTAAAATGAGAATGAGTTTATGCCTCACCAGAAACTCCAGCAGACGATAGGTGCCATTGACGCAGTAGATGACCTCATCCATGTTTTCTACTGGAGCTTTACGAAACTCCTCCACCATAAACAGCACATAGATCAGCAGAGTCCCCAGCACCTGATTAGTGTCAAGCAAAATAACATATTAATTTTAGTGTTTAGTAATGTTAGTATTAAATAATTTCCCTATTGATTTTCACCAGACAACATTTTTCAACTTGAAGGATTAAAATTGTCAGCTATTATGAATAGTAAGAGCCATCCAGCATGTGTTACCTGCAGGGAGGTGAGGATTGAGGAGGAGATGATGATGAGGAGCCAAAAGTCCATGTGGAAGAACTGACAGATCATATAAGCCATGTAGGCTGGAAATATGAGCAGGAACAGGCACAAACTCACAGCTCGGAAGTGCTTCCAAAGACTCCTGCAAGATACACATTTGAGAGACATGACATGGCATGGCAAACAACACTGTGTATAATGTTTTCGTCATTGGGACTCAGCCACAGTGTTTGAACATAAGTCATATCTGAGGACATAGATTGGCAATTTTCAAGAACTGACTGATTTAAACAAGATTAATAAAATGCTTTTACTTGTCTCTGGATGCTCCCAGAGCCAGGACAATGGGGTCAGCTATTTCCAGCATGGACTGCAGGATGGAAGCCACAACGATGAAGAGGATGATGGAGAGGAGGAAGGCTCGGTGGATCACCTGTAGCTCAATGAGACCAGTTTGAACTGCCAGGATCAGAAGAGTGATGCCCTCAGTCATGCCCCTAAAAACAAATTCACAGATTAAATACTCCAAGATCTTATATCATGCATTTTAGAAGCTTTCCAATGTCTGTAACAAGCTAAACAAAAAAAAAATACTGCTGATACTGCTATCTAGACCCTTATTTGCAAAGATGAATAACAGAGGCAATAAAATGATCACAACAAATTGGGAAAACAAATGCAGTTAGTAAAAACTCTGAATAGTCCATTTTAAAGTCCCTTGAAGACAATTATTTTTTTAAGATGAATAGAAGATGAGTGTAAGCAACAAACCGGTGCATGGTGTTGTCGTTCATAAAGGCCCTGTATCCTTGCAAGTAAAACTTGCAGAGCGTCAAAACTCCCAAAGCGATGAAGGACACAGTGAAGACCAGCCCAAGAAGGGAGTACGGTGTGCTACAACATTCTGCAACACTGGAAGAAAAATGAAAAGAATAAATATTAAAGGTACAATAAAATTTTTTCTAACTGTTGTATATTTAATATACGTGGAGGAATGATGACTCAGTCAGGGCACAGAAAAGGGAGTGCCGGAAGGCTGAGCGGAAATGGCGCAAGTCAAACCTCCAGGTTCATTATGAGATTTACAGAGGAACAATGCATATGTACAACTACACTTTGAGTAAAAAGAGAGAAGTATTTTTCGGACATTATTGGTAATTGCAGTAACAACTCTCGTGTCCTGTTTGCAACAGTGAACAGATTAACAACCCTCCAGCTCCACTGCCACTAGAACTAATTTTCCACATCTAAATGTAATGAGTTTGCAGTTTTCTTTAATGACAAAGTTCAGGGCATCAAAAATGCCATCAATTCCACAACACAAATAACAAGCATGCAGCCACAGAGACACTTAGAGCTGAATCACTTTGCACCTGTAACTGAAAAAAACTGTTTAGAGATCGTTACCAGTCTGAGTTCATCTACTTGCTGCCTGGACATGTTACCCACTAGATTCTAAAGTCCATCCTCAACAGTTTACTTTCACCACTCACTCACATAGTTAACATGTCACTTCAATCTGGAACATTCCCAAACGCATTGAAAACTGCGGTCATTAAGCCTCTCCTAAAGAAGAGCAGTCTTGATGCCACAGTACTGAACAATTTCCGACCCATCTCAAATCTGCCGTTTTTTGGCAAAGTCCTTGAAAAAGCTGTTTACCAACAGCTTACGAACTTTCTCCAAATGAACAACTCCTTTGATGTTTTCCAGTCAGGTTTTAGAGCCCCACCACAGCACTGAGACTGCTCTTATCAAGGTGACAAATGACATCCGCCTGAAACACTGATGCAGGCAAAGTCTCAGTCTTGATCCTGTTAGATCTGAGTGCTGCTTTTGACACTGTCGATCATGGGATCCTCTTACAGAGACTAGAGGACTGGGTGGGCATCTCTGGTACTGTACTAAACTGGTTCAAGTCCTATCTAGAAGACAGGAAGTATTTTGTTGAAATTGGAAACTGTGTCTCAGATGACATGGCCCTGACCTGTGGGGTGCCTCAGGGGTCAATCCTGGGCCCCCTGTTGTTCAATCTCTACATGCTGCCATTAGGCCAGTTAATAAGCAGCAATAATGTGTCCTACCACAATTATGCAGATGACACTCAGATCTACGTCTCTCTGGCAGCAGGAGACTATGGACCAGTGGAGTCACTTGGTCACTGCATCCAACAGATCAGTGTGTGGATGCAAAACAACTTTCTCCAGCTAAACTCTGACAAGACTGAAGTCATAGTGTTTGGTCCACAGAAACAAAGGGACAGTGTCAGCAGTCACCTCCAGTCTCTCGCTCTAAAACCTTCAAATCAGGCAAGAAATCTAGGGGTAATAATGGACTCAGACTTGAACTTTAACAGTCACATAAAATCAATAACATCTGCAGCCTTTTACCATCTAAAAAACATAGCAAAAATCAAAGGTTTACTGTCTAAAGCAGACTTGGAGAAACTTATCCATGCGTTTGTCTCCAGTAGATTAGACTACTGTAATGGTCTGCTCACTGGTCTCTCCAAACGAGCTGTGAGACAGCTGCAGAACATCCAGAACGCTGCAGCACGGGTCCTTACTCGAACTAGGAAGTACGAGCACATAAGTCCTGTGCTCAGGTCTCTGCACTGGCTTCCTGTGCCTCAGAGAATAGACTTTAAAGCAGCTCTACTTGTGTACAAGTCTCTCCATGGCCGAGCACCAAAGTACATCTGTGACATGTTAGTGTCATATGAACCATCTCGCACTCTGAGGACCTCAGGGACCGGCCTCCTGCTGGTGCCCAGAGTCAGAACTAAACAAGGGGAGTCAGCGTTTCAGGTTCATGCAGCTAAAACCTGGAACAGTCTTCCTGAACATGTGAGACAGACTCTTCTGTGACGCTGTTTAAATCCAGGCTCAAAACATTTCTGTTTAACTGTGCATATAACTGAAAGGTTTTCATTCCGCACTCTTCTCTCCAATTTATGTCTATGTTTTGATTTGTTTTTATTATGATTTTAATGTATTTCTGTAAAGCACTTTGAATTACTTTGTGTACGAATTGTGCTATACAAATAAACTTGCCTTGCCTTGCCTTGCCTTGCCTAATAATATTTGTTTTAGCCCAAAAGCTTTATTGAATATAAAATGCAGGTGAAGAGTGGGGAGACATTCTGTTAATTGCTGGAACTGGTCTTAAGTCGGGTTGATGTGCCATGTGTATGTGCTAATCCAGTTAATTAATTAATTATTATATATAGTCATGTCTGGGAGGGCAGCCTGGACCTGATTTTAGGACACACTGACCCTGGCACATGTAGCCAGACAACATGACTGTCGTTGATGGTTTTAATAATTTATTTTTAGGATTTAGGATGTATATAGATCCCTGGGCCAAGACCTGGTGAGGAAGAGGAAGAGCAGTCTTTCTCTGGAGGTGGGCTTGTCGCGGGTGCTGAAGTAAGAGTAGATTTGCAGAGCGAAGAGCACAAGCCAGAAGCACATGAAGAGAACAGGCAGCACCAGCTGGTTCCACAGAGACATGCCCAGAGCCAGCAGGCCGTACACCTCCACCACCTGCACACAGTTCATATATTTACGTAACTTTAAGTTTTTTTATATTTAAGTTTTTTATTTTTATTTTGTTATAATACATGCAGTGGAAATTATGCCAAAACAAAAACTAAACAAATATTCCAGTGACTAAAACTAGACAAAAAAATATTTAGAACCTCAACTAAAATTAAACAAATAAATAAACTGAAAATTAGCAACTCAGAACAAACACGATTATGCTTTACCTGAGCCAGCTCACGGTAGGCAGTTTTGGCAAGATTGTAAGGAACCAGCAGGTTAGATGCTAGGAAGTAAATGACCTCCAGGCCGGTGAAGATCATAGAAAATTTGTTGATGAAGACGATGGTCTCAAGTGGCACGAGACACAGTCTGGCCACAAGAGGGAGCAGATGAGCAGAAAAGAGCCAGATCCTCTTGGTCTGCATTACACAGGAGCAGAGTGTGCATACAACCAACTGAGCTGCAAGAAAGAAGAACCGACCGGTTAGCTATGCCATACCAATTAATAATAAAAGAGTCCTCACAATGGCATCTACAATAGTAAAGAGACCTGACTGAAATCTATGAATAGCTGGCAATTTCTATGTATGACAACACACAGTTTCATACAATTATATGAGTATTACAGGTTTATCATTTGTCCACTCTAAACTAACTACAATGTCCCATCATAGAAATAATGTTACTGTTATTTAGAAAATGGGTTCAGCAACATAACTTCAAACGCAAAATTAATACAGGCTTCCACAAAGCCTTAAGGCCTTTGCTCAAGTTTCTGCTTGTTTTCCAAAAACATCATAGATTTCATACTTTTGTGCTGTTTTCACATGAAGTCCCGTAGGTGTTATTGTAAAAGTTGAATTCTAAGATGGCACACATTAGCTTATGCAGCATGCTTGTTTTAGTTGTAACAATATACCTATGAGTGCAGTGGTGAATCTGTTCATGGAAAGAGGTTCCAGGTAGACCGGTCCTTCATTGCCGGAATCCAGTTCACTGCGGACGTAATCCCTGACAAAGAGAGGTTGGCTGATCAATTTACAAAAGAACGTCCTGCTCTTTTTCACAGAAGATACATGCACCATGAAGATACATGATTACATGGAAACAAGAGTCAAGTTATTGAGATTGTCTTTTATCACTTATACATTTTTAAATATACAAATAATTGGGTTTTAACAATCTTTAAAACCCTTTTCGTAAAAATTTAAAAGACTTTTCATAAAACTAACTGTAACTAAAGGTGCACTAATGTAAGTTTTCTGGTGGAGGGTCGACCACCTGCTTGGAGATGGAAATTTCCACTCAAGCAATAACATCTCCATGGAGACGAGCCAATGGCGATCACTTACCAGACAAGTGACATAGTGCACCTTTAGTGATGAGAGTTTACTGTAAACAGTGTGGCCAAATAAACATAAATAAACTTAACAATTGGGCTAATGCATAACAGATATCTAGAACCGATCCAGTCATTATGTCTGGCAGCATGAGTGTCAGTGCAGCTCTGGTCTTTTGTCAAAATCTAAAAACCTTATGTAACATTATACCTCTTATCACTAACTGTGATCACCATTTTGGGTGTGCTGCACATATCATCTTTGCACTTTTGTTTAGCACTTGACTTAAGCTGTTGGTTTTGTGAGTTATTTTACAATGAGAGGATTCTAGTTGATACAGAACAGGAGAGAGGGATAGATGGGACAGGCGCAATGATCAAAGAAAATGCAGGATGCTCTACTTTGCTATAATACTATATTTTGCACCATTATTATTTTATAGATGATCGTATTGCTCGCACCACAAAGGCCACTTGCTTTATTCTGAAATGCAGTGTACCTTGAGACTTGGTGTCCAGCAAACAGAAGCAGTGCAGTGAGGACGTACAGGTACAGTTTAACCAGGTGCTGGCGAGGCAGAGTCAGGAGCACCAGGCTCAGGATGTAACCTAGAAAAACACACACAACAAGGTTAACTAAACTAGCTACATGGAAAATGTGGAAGAGAAAGAGAAGATTAAATGTGAAACAATTCAGTTTGTATGCCTCTGGGTTCAACGGTACATTCCAATCCTGTTGGCTCATTTTAACTGGAGACCAAAGGCAAAATTACATCTGAAACAATAACTATAATTTCTCACTTATGAAGAATATTCAGCTCAGAAAATATAAACAATTACATAATGTTGACACAAATGAAACACTCTGAAGAGAAGTTGTATAGAACTGGAATGATTTAACTATATTGGGTCGTAATAATTGTTCACAGGTACTAAACTATTCTCAGACACTGCCTGACAGTTGAACCCCAACATTACAGTGATAAGAGATAAGACAGTTCCTCTAACAGCAGGCTGGTGGTTTCCTTCTACAAGAGTACTGAAAGTGAGTATATGTGTTGCGAGCTAGTACTGACCTACATAGTGCAGGTAAAGTGCCAAGTACTTGTACTGAAACAAGGGGTTGTTGGAGAGGCTTGATCTCTGGACCTTCTGGAAGAAAGAGCTGACGTCCCAGCGGTACAGGACATCCAGCAGCATGATACTGGGCACACGGAGGCCCACGTTTAGGACAGACTCCACGCGGTCCTTCAGTGCCATGGTAACAGGTTACGCAGGCTGAACTGACCACTACCACTCTGCACTGTGTACAGAGACACACAAAAAGAAAACAGGAAAACACTGTTGGATTAAGACATTCCACTCAAAACTCTACATAGGGGCAACAAAGCACAGGGAAAAAAAGAATCTGAACTTAAAAATACACCATATTCTAAATTCAACTAAGGCTGAGAGACATTTTGGAGAAGTATTTGATTTGTTATTTTCCTGACAGATAATGTGGTTGCCATTCATGGTATGGTCAGTTTAGAAATGCACAATATATTGCAATTTAATCAATCAAAGTGTTGCAATTATCAAACTGTGGTCAGCAATTACTAAAGTTATGAAATGTCTTTTAGCAAATCAAGTTTCCAAACATCTAAAAAGTATGCACATTGGCAGTTCATAGCTCAGTTTAAAATGTGAACTGTGAACTGAATACTGTTTTAAAGACATACATTGCAAATTTAACTGCACTTGCAACACATCCAGGAGAAGAAATATCAAGTGCTAATATGCCATACATTTCACAACATGTTTGGAGGTCTAAAACTACAGGATTAGAAAGTTATGCGTAAGAGAGACAAAAAATAAGATTATGGAGTCTGCAAATTGCAACCAACCATGGCAATTTAGATCCTGCAGCCCCACAATGACCTACACTAAATATTGCACAGTGAAATCTTTCACTTCAACTGAAAGCTAAATTTGCATGCATATTTAAGTCTTTTTGTTCCTCCTTTAAGCTGTGTGTGGTTTCCGGGACCAGGTATAAACAGAACGCTGAGCTCTGATGTTTCCAGCCAGGTGCAGAAACACCTGTTCCATGCATTCTGAGTTTTCCACTCAATGTCTATTGTTTATGGATTGATTCACTGTAGTGCATCAGTCCCTCACAGTCTACACAATCCACAGTAACTTTAATATGCCTTAAACAAAATACAATGTCAAATTAACATGCAGATAAAAATAAAAGATCTATTGGGGCATCGACGGATAGGATACAACGTTTTAGTCGCAAAATACTTTGACTCGATCCACTGAATGGGACGGCATCCTGGCATTACATAACGGAACCTAAGACTATATCTAGCCAGCAGACAGATCACTACAGAATAGGAGATTACATAACCAGCGGTCTAACGCTATGTTTAAAAGCTATTTAGTTACAGGTTTGATCTGGTTTTGTTTTTACCACAACAATTAGACCCGTATGTGTTGAGCATCCACAACAACAGGACTACAGACAGCATGGATGAGTGAGTGCTGCATCGATCGAGGCGCTCATGAACTCTAGTAACCTCGCGGTCTCGTTTGCAGAGAGCTCACCCTCCTCTAGCCGCAGAGCTATTAAAATATAAACTAGTCCATTATCAAAGTTCTGTGAAATGAGTGCACTCGGCGGTGGAGCAGTCCTTCGCACAAACTGTGTAAACCAGAGCTAAATAATGACACAGCTATGACACTGTACGTGCGGAGTGGATATGATGAGCTGCATTGAGCACACAAACACAAACAGACACACAGACACAGACACACACAGGCACGGTGCCAACAACTCGGGCTAACATTAGCCACATACAACTATAATCACAACACAACGACAGCAAATGATACAAAGCAATGCGCGCAGTCTGCAAAGCTATTTATGTGCATGTTTACAGCTAAGCACCGAACTTACGTATTAACTACAGACAACAACTGAGTCAACACGGTCTTTTAGCCCCGCTAGCAGACACAGGCAGAAATTCCAACGAAGCTAACGAAGACGCGTAGCCAAAAGTCGGAATAGAAGGGGACTTACATTTGAAGGGCGATCTTCGCGATGTATACTACAGATCTGAGTTGTTTCCCCGCTTGGATATAAACCATTTTAACTCGGCGTCGCCCGAGCTAACGGTCCTCTTGAAGGGAGCGCCGCGGACTCAAAGGATGTGGCCCATCCGCTCATCTCAGCAGCAGCCATTAGCCCTGTGCTGCTCCTGAGATATGCTGAGCATGCGCACTGCGGTCCTGCCTCGAAAAGTACACTTGAGTCTATGGAGAGGACAAGTACTGTACTTCTGTGGCAGTAGCGCCATTCAGTGGTTCTGTCAAGTCATGGAAGACTAAAGACTAAATACGACAAAGTTTAAACTCCTCTTACACATAACATGGCCTATAACGATGACATATATGGTCTCCCCTGAATTCATTATATCAAGTACTCACATCTATATTATTAAAGCTTTAGCATTACATACACAATACATGTTTCCTCATTTAGACTAGTTAATATCAAAATCAAAATCGCCTTTAGATACAAATTGACGCGTGGTTCTGTTGCTATGGTAACATGCTTCTCTTCTACGTCACTTCCGGCAGTTTTCGGGACGCCAGGAAGAAACAACTGAGTGCATCCCGATGAATGGAAGTGACCAGAAAACTTCTGCTGTTTAATCTATAATCCTCATAAACTACATATTTTGCTCGTTGCAGCACCGTAGGCAACTGTAGACGGTAAGGCTAGACAAATTATGTTCCTAGGTTGGTCAACGCGTGATCACTGGGGTGTGATACTGCCTTTTATAATGACAGCGTTAGCCTCTCAATGCTACAAATAACATTGTGGATTGATAAGGTTAAGTCAAGCGTTGGGGGGGGAAACGAAACGTATATCGCGCTGAAATGTTATCATTTTCTATGCAGAAGTACCTTCTATTTATTTATTAAAGACTGTACTAAGTAAATGTCTAAATGTGGCCTGAGGACGCAGAATCATTATTATCTAACGTATTTTGCTGGCATATTTGAAGAAATAATATATGTCATATTCTCGACAGAATTGAGCGACAGTTAACTCAGTACCTTAATAACAAATAAATGAATATCTATGTTGTGGTTTTCCGAAATCTTGTGATCTTTGATCTTGTGCACTTTTTTTCAGATATAGTATTACCGTGGAAGCAGAGAGCCTTCAGTCTGTCTCCAGCTGTGTTTATGTCGTAAAGATCCCTTGTAGTCATGTCAGTATCAGTGATAATAAAATGGGGAGGGCAAGAGTACTCCATCAGCTCTCTGTCTGAGGAGGACACTGTCATGGACCTGAAACAATCTATCAAATCTCTGACAGGAGTGTTGCCCGAAAGACAAAAACTACTGGGACTAAAGGTCAAAGGTGAATATAGTAGTTACATCCATTGCCATATAATAACACATTTAATAAATGCATTGATGAAGTCTACTTGTTTGTGTAGTTTGTCCTGTTGAAGTGAATTGCTTTTTATCTGGTTTATATGACACAAGTTTTATCTCAGTGGAAATGCATGCAACTATAAACTCATAAATTACGTACAAGACTATAGCTAGGAGGTAACTTAAATAGATTATTATCTTTTATCATCACCTAATTAAATGTCTTCCAAAGAATCAAATGTGTTAGACTAAAATGTCTTACGTAGCATTAGTGACTGGACTGGATAAATTCAGGCCTAAACCGGTGATCAGTGTTTGGTCTTGGTTTGAACCCAGTTTAGTTCTGATGAAAAAACAAACAAACAAAAAAACATAAGAAATACTAAAGCTTTTACTTTGCTTTACTTTACTTTGCTATGGGCCTAATTTTGATTACTTTCTATACCCCCTTTTTTGTCCTTCAGGTAAACCAGCTGAAGATGAGGTGAAGTTGGGCTCTCTTAAACTGAAGCCAAACACAAAGATTATGATGATGGGCACCAGAGAGGAAAGCTTGGTATGTCGTTAATTAATTGTGTCTATAAAATCAAGGACAGTGGGACATGCCATAACATTTTGGTGTATTCACGATTCTGTTATATTGTTACTTTATTAGGAGGACGTCCTTGCTCCTCCTCCTGAAAACGATGATGTGGTTAATGATTTTGACATTGAAGAGGAAGTGATTGAAGTGGAGAACAGGTCGGGTCAATCATAAATCAAGATTTTTATTGAGAAGAAAATAGTATTAAATTCCTTTTGGAATATAACATTTGTGCCACTGAGCATCCCTGCAGCACCATCATGTTTTATGTATGCCATGGGACACATTCAGTGCATATCTTTATTGTATATTCATTTATCTTAATGCTGCACATGGCTATGCAGAGACTTTCATATCATCCTGATTAAGTTAACTGTCCTCTGTAGCCAAATAAGAGAAACTAACATTCAAAATTTATGTGCATTTGTATTTTGAAATAAATGCTGTTGTCTGTCTCTAGAGAGGAGAACCTGGCAAAAATAGCACGTAGAGTAAAAGACTATAAAGTGGAGGAGATTAACCCACCCAGAGAAGGAAAGAAGCTACTAGTGCTTGATGTGGACTACACTTTGTTTGGTGAGTTAGAGTAAAAGAGACTTATATTAAGATATTATGTTGTATTATACACAATACATTTTTTTATTCTATACTCAATTTATGTTTGTTCAGACCACAAGTCATGCGCAGAAACAGGTCAGGAGCTTATGAGGCCATACCTCCATGAGTTTTTAACATCTGCCTACGAGGACTATGACATTGTGATCTGGTGTAAGTGAGGGATTGCTAATTATTAAAGATAATTTTTGTGTCACATTAAAACACAAATTCAAATGCTCTATACAGATTTTTTATTAATTACTTACAATGAATTATCTTAATTACATTATCTTTTCTGTGCATTGATAAATGATAACGTAACAACTAAATTATCTAATGAAGCTGTGTCATCTCTTTAGCCGCAACAAGTATGAAGTGGATTGAAGCCAAAATGAAAGTATGTAATTAGCAAAATCTATCCTTTCCTCAGTCAAAAGATGTTAATCCGTTTTAAATATGATTTTGTATTTGTGTTTGCAGGAGCTGGGAGTGACAGACAACCCAAACTACAAGATCACCTTCATGTTGGACAGTGCTGCCATGATCACAGTACACACGCCCAAGAGGGGAGTGGTGGAGGTCAGGGCTTAAGTATTTCTAATCAGTCTGAATTGGCATAAACCTGTCCTGGCTTGGGCATGATAGTATAACTGAATGAAAGTAGGTGTGAGTGTGACAATTGTATTTTTGAAGCACATGTCATGTTTTGCCCTTTGCCAATTATAGCTTCTACCAAGTCATAATAAATTAGCTCTTATAGACACTGAGTCACTGCTACCAGTTTTAGAAATGTCACTTTCCTTTCCTTCCTTCACTGTTCCAGGTCAAACCGTTAGGCGTCATATGGGGGAAGTATGAGGAGTTTTACCATAGGAAGAACACTATTATGTTTGATGACATTGGACGCAACTTTCTCATGAATCCTCAAAATGGACTAAAGGTCAGTGCTTCAACCTTTAACATGACTGTGTGGCATTTGAAGCATTTCATTTTTAGGTTTTATGTGAGAATTTCCTTCCTAATAAAGACACGTTTATTTAGATCCGACCTTTCATGAAGGCCCATCTGAATCGAGAGAAGGACAGAGAACTGTACAAACTAGCTCAGTATCTCAAAGAAATTGCCAAGCTTGAGGACTTCACTGGACTGAACCACAAACACTGGGAGAGGTGAGAGACAGACTTTTCAAAAGCTGACTGAACAATGGGTCGAACAAAGCACATAAAATACAGACTGATTTTGGGCTGAACCAGCACCACACTAGTCCTATGATACCAGTATTGACTTTTTCAGAAAAGTACCAGACCTAGAATTTTTTTTTTTAAATGCATTCAGAGACAAGCTACTGATCATCAGTTATTGTCCTTTGTTTATTTGTTCTTTCTCAGATACCTCTCAAAGAGGCAACACCACTGAAAGTGAGACTTCTATCCGAAAAGCTGCTTCTCAAAACAAACTTGACGAGTCCTCTTTTCAAACTACTCCTTTGATTTCTCCAGCTCAGGACTCCACGGGCTTCCCTCCCAGTATACTTTTGCATGTGCTTTCTCCTTGAAAGGTCAAAACCTACCAGAACCACAAATGACATACATGAACAAAGTGAGTTTTAATGTACCTTAATAAACAGTATTTTCTATGCTTGTCAAACTAGTTACCTAAAAATAATGCAAATTTTCATATCTACAAAATGCAACTTATAGCAATTCAATTTTTATTTCATTTTTCTGCTAATGCAGCACATTCAATTTTAGAAAAATAATTGTAAGATGCTTTCTTTGGCTTTTTATTAATACTTGTTTATTCATCCCAAATCTTGGGGGACTCTTCTGCTGCTATGACTCTGTTAATTCAAAGCTCAAATGCCAAATGGTTCCCTTATTTTTGGAAAAAAACAAACAAACAAAAAACATTTAATAAATTTGGCATTGAAGGAAAATGTAAAAAAAAAAAAAAAAAAAAAAAAAATGAAAGCAAGTTTCTGCTTTGTTTGAAATATTTCTGCACTTACACATGAAGACTGGCACTAATTTTAGGTTATGGATTGTAAGCTAAGTGTTATGTATAGTACATATTTTGGGATTTCATTTATTTTTCATACATTGTTTACAGGGCTCTGAGCATAGGGATGTTCATTTGATGTAAAAAAAATGTGTGTTTGTGTTAGCCTAACTACATCTTCTACATGTAAATATGACAAGTAAACCATTTTTGTAGCAACATTGTTGTGTGTGTGTTCCTTTTTACTATTAACAAACATGCATACAAAAATGACTATGCACTGGAAACATGTTTAGTTTCTTGAGTATATAAAGATATGTGAAAGATGGGAACTGAAGAATCTAACTCCATCCACTGTCCAGTGTACATTGTAGTACGTGTTTCCAAAAATATAGAGAGAAAAGAGCACCGACTTTTTTATTGTACATATAATATTTAATAATGTAGAATAGGTCAATAAATACTGTACATAAATAGATTTAAACAGTACATTCAGAGGGAGCAGTGGTATGTGCCGTGGATTCGGTTGACACTGTAAGGAAAGAAAAAGGAGATTTATTAAAACCAAACATGTGAATAATATTACCCTAAAGATACATCCAAGTACAGCAGACGTCTCTTATCATATACGCAGATATAGAGTGGGGCACAGTTAAAACTATTTGTATTACTCACGTGCAATGACTCCAGTGGCTCCATGGTCCTCCTGTGTGCTTGTCCTGAGCTCTCAGACAGAAAACAAACCTCTTCTGTATGATTTTATCGACTGAGTATTTCATTTCCGAAATGTTTTTATCCTGCACAAGACATTATGAAGACATTTAAATTTTACGTTTATTTTAGTTATTCATTTTTTGAGTCTTTTTCTTACATCTAAAATTTGATCGGAATGGCAGTTTTCTCCATTGCGCACCACTCTGACATTAAACAGCAGACTGAAGTAACTGCAGGGCCTCTCCCAAGACTCAGGATAATCCCATGTGAACACACTGCCATTAGTGAGTTGCAGTTCTCTCGGTGGCGCAGGGGTCACTAAAATTGCAGAATATATAAATAAAAAATAAATATTATAAATAAAATGTGAAATGCATTATTATGTTAAATATTAAATTCATTTTTAGCATATTTCAAGTGATCACAGTGTCTTAAAACAGATGGAATTTAGCTTTTCTGTGAACTTATAGCCATTGTTATTGTTATTCGAGAATGTACCCAACAGCCCATTTAAGGCTATTTTGATTGAGATATTTTAACTTGTCTTTAAATTCCCTTTGTTTTAATATGAACTTGTTATTTATATTTAAGGTGCTCCATAGAGTCACTGACCAATTTCCCTGAGGTAGAACTTCTTGGTGAAGGCCTCCAGGCGGAACACACTCTTCATGTAGACGGTCAGAGAGATGCGGTGCTGCTCCTCTTTGTACGGACAGTTATTATCCACACACCTCATGCCCGACCCATCTGGCTTCACCACACATGAGACCGGCTCCTCATCGCTGAAACAAAACCCAACTCAGTGACAGTTTGCCCCAGTACCACTGAAGGATGATGGGTCAAATGCAGAGTGCAAATGTCTCTACAACCTTAAATACAGGCTTTGTACCACTCTAGGTATCTGGCATATGTGTTAATTTTTGAGTTTATATCATGGTAAGATTTATTCAATTCAATATTCCTGACTATATTACAGAATTTGCAGATTTATTGGGTTTGTTTTGGCAGTAACTTCAATCTTAAAATCTTACAATCCTCAGTCTCTTTCAAACAAGTACATTTATTTATTTAAAAAAAAACAAAAAAAACATTTTGCTGTGCATGCGTGGACCACTGGAGGAAGTGAAAGAGTACATGTGAAAGACACATTTATGACTCAAGTTCTAATAGTATTGTGTAATTATGAATCAAGCTCTAATAGTATTGTGTGATGAGTTCTCACCGATGGCCCTTGACCAGCAGCACAGTGGCATCTGAGCGATCCATAGACCTGGTCCAGCTGCACTGGAAGTCGCCACGGTAGTTTGGTGTCCAACAGTGGATATATTCTGCAAGAAAATTAGCCATTTTATATGCACTCTTTAGTTACGCTTGTAGCCAAGATATTAAGTATTCAGGATCTTGTAGCTTGTGTTGTTTTGACACAAAGTAGTATTTTATAATCCAATGGTGAAATACAATAAATAACAATATAACTCTCTTGGTCTCTGTCTCTTTCTGTCTGTCTGTATGTCTCCATCTGTCTGTCTGTATGTCTCTCTGTCTCTCTCTCTTCTCTCTCTCTGTCTCTGTGTCTCTGTGTCTCACTCACCCTGCTTGTGGCCTCTGGGCTCCAGTATGACGGTGCGGTTGTCAGGCTCCAGTTGAACCATGATCACAGTGTAGTTGATTGGGGGTCCCTGTGGTTCTTGGTGGCAGGTGTAGTTGCCTCCACCCCACTCTAGCACAGTCACCTGGATCTGGTTCCCCTGCAGTCTGGGCTGGAGAACACCTAAATCAGACCAAAGGCTCCACAATTTAATAAGGTCAAAAAACAATCAATGAAGTCTGCCAACACAGGTGTACTTCTGTTAATTGCATTAGTGAGCACTCTAGTGAAAACTAGAAACCTACAATGGTAAATACAATATCAGTATTTTAATAATACTGAATTTAAAAGTAAAATAATGTGTTCCTCACCGTTTCTCTTCCAGATCACTTGCTGATCTTGAAAAGCATCTCCACAGCTTATGGACACAGGCACTTCAGAGCCATCAATGTTTCGCACCCGCAAAACCACCACTGAAACAGACATGAGCACAGGTCTGTGATGTCCATTCAGTTTTGTGTTTTGTGCTTTACAATGGGCCCTGGAGGGGAAACCCCTGAACAGCAGCCACAATAGAGATACATTATTGGATTTAGTGGCCCACAGTCTTTACAGTCACATTTACTATTGGGAATTTACATTATTAATGAGTAATGAAAAACAAACATTTGCTCTGCAGCAAGTTCTTAAAGCAAACAAATATCTGACTATTACAAATATTTCCAAGGATGTATGTATGTATAGCTCTTATCTCTTTTCTTTTTATGAACCTATGAATGAATTGCTTATTATATAAGCAAGTGCTGTGTTTTTTCTTGATAAAATCACACAAAATACAGAAAATATGAAGTCATAATACCACACTTAAAATCCATAAAGGCTCTTTACCATTCATTGTGTCGTAAACACTGAATGGTGTGTGTTGAAATGTATTATTTGATTACTGAATTAAATCTTTGACAAAAAATTAGTTGAGGATGAGTTGGTGATGTGTTTGTAACAGTCAAGTCCACAGTATAAAATGTTCTGTACATACCATTGTCCGTAAGTCTCTCAGTGTTTGCAGAAAAACTTTTGGAGGTAAAACACAGCATCGCAAAGAGAGCCAAAAACACAAGCCTGCCCATCTGTAGAAAACACATATCAAAACATTATTTCAGTCACATCATGTTATCTAGGTCTATTGCCACCTGGAGAAAATCTGAAAATATGTAAATACTTCAAATCTTACCTTAAAGTCAATGTTCAAACTTCTTTCTTCTACCTATCACACGCCTGCTGCTTGGTCTGATTGTTGTATGTGTGGAACAGTTATGGTCTGGTCGTATTTATTGTGTGCGAAGCAAAAAAAACCCAAACAGGAACTGAGCCTCCATCCAATGCCTGTGAGTAGTGAAATGAATACTGGAGGAAATTGCTTAGAACTAAATATTCTTCACAGAAATATCAAAAAACTATACACCAACTATAGATTGAACAAGCTGATTCATCTGTCCTGGTTAATACGTGGTAATTTACTTTGATCCTGTTTTTGTTCTGAATTAATCATTGCTTCAGAAAAGTGTCTATTCTCTGTGTGTACTTCATTAATTATATAAAATGAGTGGCTGTGTTATCATTTAGTAAATAAAAAGGTTTTTATGTTTGTGTAATTATTACTTGATTTGGTGGGTTAGTAGGCTAGCTGTATCAAATCTTTATCATATATTTACATTAGGCAAATCTTTTGTGAAGAAACATTTAAAAATATGAGGTGAATGCTACAGAAAGTAGTGCTGAGTTCTAAAAATGAATCCCATGATGTCATCAATAGGCCTGCACTAAATTCCATCAAAATTCAGGGACAATTTATGTACAAAGATCACATGTTTTTGTATATGTTTGAATAACCCTTTATTACTCGACTGTCCACATCTTGAAAGCTCAAAATGCTCTGTTCCACCTTGTGATGTCATGAAGCTGTAGTTTTCATGTTAACAGCTACCGTTTACCTTTGTTTTAGAGATCTGAACTTGTAGGACTGAAGTCATCCCAATGATTCTAGTGAAGGTGTATGGAGTTTAAAAACACAGTGGAGCTCTTCATGTATTACCACATGACATCACAAGGTGGAACAGAGGGTTTTCTGTTGGAGAGAGTGTGATAAAATGTGTGAATGAAACAAAATACAGCTCCAGGTCTGTTTGTGATGAGGAAACAACATTATAACACAGACTAGAAGATAGCGTAATATGGCCCCTTTAAACATTAATTTTACAAAAATAAAGGTGCAGTCATATATTTTATTTGTCAAATAATAACTAATGTGTAAATTCGTAAAGTATTAACTTTCAGAAACTTGTTGAAATAGGGAAAAGTAAGATTATTAGCAAAATTGTATAATTATGTTTACAAAGTTATAATGAAAAGTGCAGTCTAACATATCATATGCACTTTAAATATGACATAGCAACTAAATACATGAATTGTTTGTCTGGTATTAGTAATGGTATTGAACGCCTTTACACTGTGATGGGGTAAGAGAAGTGTTTTAGACACAACACACTGTAATTATGATAATAGCTAATTATGGTTTTATTAAACATGTCTGGATTACAATTTAGAAGTGTGTAACTGGAAGCTCCAAATGCTAAACTAAATAGTTTCAGTTAATTCCTGTGATTCAGCCATTTAATTCAGTCCTGTGATTCAGCCATTGTACACAGACCATATTCCAAAAGGGAAAGGTGATATGTGTGGAGGAAGTGACAGAAACTTTTCAAAAAGGGAACTAACATACTTCATACTTTCAAAGCCAGTACAATAGAGATCTTCAATTACATGGGTCAAAAACGGGGAATGCTCCTGACCATCTAAACTTCTCAAGAAATAGAATCAAATGCAAATGACGCAGCCTCTATGGAATCTGAAAGAGGAATGAAGTCAATGGGACAAATAATGGAACAAATACAACAGAAAATATTATGTCATAGGGCAGTGTGTTGTCATTGGTATTGAACTGGGTTAGAACTAGCATTTCCTCCTTAAATCTAAAATATTTACAATACACCAATACTTCAGCCAGTCAGACACAGATTAATACGACAATTATTCTTTACTATTTACTATCCTTTACTATTCTTGGCAAAAAATTATAATGTTTGATATTCTGGACTTTCTGTGAGGAGCTTCATTTAAAAAAATACACTAAGTCTGTAGTTTGAGTCTGTCCGATTACATTAATCATTTAGTCAATTATAAAATATGTTTCACAATGTTTTTTTTATGGTTAAAACATGGGGAAATGTACAAAGTAATATCATATGCATGTTTGAGTATTGTTGGTGCTTCATGGGCAAACATCTGGGGCAGGGTTATACAGTGACACAGAAAAAGGTCCATAAATGACTTTGTACATACACGTTTTGGTTCGACCTGAGAGGAATTTCACTTAATATCATCTCTATTAATACCACATGACTGAACAAATAGGAAACCTGCCTCTTATAAATGCTACCCTGTGACTGATAAAGAGAGTGTTACTTGACCACTGGCCTTTGATTTTAGGGAAGGTAATGTGTGACATGCGTATGCTCTGTATCTGTTTTACTCACCTGCTGTCTCACTTTCTCTCATGCTTTTAGTTCATTTATATTTAATTAACACATTTAAAATATTTGAAAGAAAACTTTTCTGATGGAAGATTTGCCACTTCATTGTTTCCTGAAATGTTCAAGTTATTTCTTAACTATAAAAACTGAATTCATTATATTATTTATATATGTATTTTATATATATATATATATATATATATATATATATATATATATATATATATATATATATATATATATATATATATATATATATATATATATATATATATATATTTTTTTTTTTTTTTATATCATTTTTGGAAGCCTCTGTAGTTAGTCTGATAACCTAAAAGGCACATTATGCAACTTGTCTCCATGAAGATGCTATTGTATTCTTATCTTATCTAACCCTCCACTTCTCAGCAATACAAGCTTTATGTGGGGCAGTCCAGTGTCTTTTCCCCTCAACACTTTATCCCTTAACATAAACTGTATGGAGAACTTCCTTATCAGTGATATTCACTGTAACATTATTAACAACAGGAAAAGCCTATGTTACTTTATAGCTGGCCACAACAGTAAAACAATATGGGCTATGTAATGTGTAGATTTTCCAAGACACGCACACATAAAGCCAACTAGAAATGGAACACAAAAGGGGAAGTCTCAGATATTGCAGATGATAAGAGCAAGTTATATTATTGTGGTTTTCTTGTATCATTGTTAAACCCATTAGGCACTGAATAATATCAATAACAGCCCAGAGGACAAAGTGAAGTAGAATTTAAACTGGATGCTTCAAGCCATGTATTCATAATGAGATACTTTGTATATATGTAACATTAAACAAATCAGCCTCAGTTTATATTTAACTATATGGTTGCACAGTGATTGTTTAACCTTTCTATTATATTTAACTATGTGGTTACAAAGTGATTGTTTAACCTTTTAATTTCCCATTGGTTTCAATGGGAAGCCAAAGTCATGTGTTTTAAACCTACATGACATTAACAGAACGATCTAGACTAACTTCCACTTCCACTGTTGGCCTTTTGACAGTCTGGCACGTAAATAAATATCACTATATTATCTTGTTTACAAGATGACTAAGCTTAACCTGGGTCATGCCAGATTGATATGCATAGCACTCTGAATTGAAGTCTACACATTGGGAAAAGGTGTAACATCATGATAGATATTTGAATCTGATTGAACATCGGGAGTATCTAAACATGGATTCTCCTGAGTTTGTGGACTCAAATAGATTGCGAGAATCTATATCGCTACACAAGTTTAGTCTAAGATGTGAGTGTAGCAACTAACAGGGCTTAAAACGGACTTAATTATTAATTTGCTCTATTCTTTTTCAATAATTTCCAGAACTTAAAGCTCATTTATTTTTGGAAAACTATTGTTTTTGTAAGATTAGTTCACAGTGCACATTTTACAGTATCTAAGAAAATGTTTAAAAGTCTTACAGGGTTAGTAGGCTTCACACAAAATAAGTTAATAAATAATTGCAGTCTTTGGGATTTGCTAATTGCACACACTCAAATACTACAGCCCTTCTGCAGATGAAAAGTGTAAAGATAGAACAGATTTTTATGTATGTATTATATAAGGTCTATCAAATAAAACAAATAAGGTCTTCTTGAATATATGACCAAACTCTACAGATATTATTCAGTGCATTGCAGTCAACATGGACAGTTGTTGTCATCAGATGAAGGTATGGAGACACTGTTATAACACTAATCATCATAGACCAGTGATGGAGACCATTTCAACCCATCCTGAACTTTTTACCTGGCAATAAAATCTCTGTCCTACACAATATTTATATGAAAGGAGCAGAACTACGCACTGGTGCCCTTCTATATACTTGTGATTCTATTACAACTGGCAATCAGATGATAAAAATAATGTTATTATCTAATTGTGTAACACATTTCTAATCTAATAAGATTTTTTCCCTCTGAAATTCAACCCTCATACCAGTTGAGTACTGAAAAGAATACAAAAGTCAAGAATGCAATTTAATTAAAAACACTATTTTAATAATCAAAATATGCAGCTGTGTGCCTGCCGCCCATCTTTCAGTCCCACAGAGAAGTGACAGTGAATGCTTGTGAATGGGTTTCTTGGTGTCTTGTCTCTGCCACAGAATTTGAGATGAACTGATTGTTTTGAAGATGACTGAAGTAAAGCATCTAATCCAGCAGCATCTTGTTTAAATGTTCCTTCTTGCTCCCATAATACATTTCTTAATGTGCCTTGTCAAATGGAGCTAAGCATCTTAATGTCAAATTGTGATAACAGCTTACCCGAATAGACAATAATTGAAACTTCTTTTTATCTAAACTGAAATGTTAAAACTCAAACTTAAACGGATGGTATAACCCTGTAACCTAGAAAAACATTTGCTGCAGAACATGAATGGAAAGTAAGATTCAGATCTCAGCTCATTATGAAAATCCTTCAAGCCAGTCAAGCTAGACACAGTTCTCCTTTTGTAGTTTGGTTTCCATAGGAACAGTTAAAAAGACTTGAAAAAGGTCAACGTGTAAAATCAAAAAGAAAGAAAGAAGGCTGTATTTCTCAATTGAAGAGTCCTCCAGCAGACAGCCTGTTGCCCCAGACAAGGATCATCTCATCAAAAACAATCCAGTAGAAAATAATTCCTAAAATCAAAATTCAACTGTCTGTAGCAGCCAGCTCTCTCCAGTCTCGAGTGTCGAGTTTGCGTCAGTTTTCTACCGGAGTGGGATCTTGAGACACCACTCCTTCCACCTCCACAGCGCCCCCTTCAGTTTGACTCTGCCCTAGGACAGGTGAGGGAGGGGCGGGGGGCTGACTCAGAATCACCTGCACCACATAGTCCTTGGAGATATTGAGCTGATCCAACCGTAGCCTGTCCGTGAGTGGTCGCCCTGAGAAAAACCAGCGCTGGGTGTTGGCCGCGACCCCCTCCTGGTTCTGGAGTCTCCTCTTCATCATCCCCACTGTGTCTGTGGATCGCACTGTGAGACGCAGGTCCCGCCCTGTGGAGAGGCGCAGGCGCAGTTGTGACTCCCCCCCCACCACCGTCGGGTCCCCTCCTCCTCCCCCGCTCACCGATGTGGAGTTTGGGTCGGCGGTGCTGGAGTCCGGGTCAGAACCGTCGGGCTCGTCTGACCGCTCTTCAATCATGTTCACGGGAGGGGAGAGGCAGTACACGGGCAGCTGGTACCGGTTCCCCAGCTCATCGTAGCATTCGGTAAGAGCTCCTAAAGACAGAAAGACAAGAGCCAGTCAATGCTTTTACACGGGACAATATGACCAGCCTAAACTGCAGGAGCATCTGCCAATTTATTCATGGGTTTTTAATCTTGCTTAAAAGATTGATCAGAATAATCAATGAATCAAATAATTGTTGACTATTTGTTATCTTGACCATACAAACTAAAAAACACATGCCTAAAAATGTTTTCTAACAAAGACAAATATATAACTGGGTAAGTAGTCGACTACTAAAATAACTGATAGTTGTTTTTAGAATAACAGTGATATTTCAAGGTCACTGTGCACTTTGTTTTATCACTGTGTGCATATTAATGTTTTAGTTTGTTTTATTTTAGTATAAAAGATTAACAGTGTGTCAACATACAAGAAATTAATGAAAAGGAACAGAAAGAAGATTCATTTTAGGTTATCGACCCCCTTTTCCAGAAACCGACAGTTACTTTAAAACACTTCAGATCAATACATTTCATTTCAAACACAAATATGCAATCAATATGTATCAATTGCAGACAGATATCTTCACTATTTTGCACAACAACTCAGTTTAGCAGACAGCGTACATCACTAGTGGCATGATGGAGGGTTATATTAACTCATGTTTGAGGTCAAACTTTGCCCGACTCTGGCTCGGAGTTACAGCTTGTTGCTATAAACACAATTATCAAAACAGTTGTAGATAAATATAAAAACTCATTTTCAGTTTGTGTTGACTCAGTCCATGTTGTACCTGAGGCTAAAAAGAGAATAATGCAATTTAGATTAGAGAGAAACATATGTTGAAACAAGCCAATTTGAAGAGACACAAATATGCTGCTAGTTTTTATTGACAAAGCCTTTAAACATTTTCCATAGACTTGCTCTTTTGTGTTGTGTTGGCTGAAAGTGAAGTGTAAGGGGAAAGAGCAAGTCACTTTGTCATGAGTTTCACTAAGAGAAATGAAAGCTAACGTCACTAAGTTCCTAAATGGATCAGAGCGAAAAATGATGGATGCGATGAGAGGTCATGGTACAGAGTCAGAGAAAAGGGGCTCCCAGGACACAGGCAAGGTTTCTTTTAAACATCACTTTCATCTTGGACAGAGACTAATAAAACATGAGGTCATCACGTATTCAATGGGAGCATATCTCTGAGGACTTATATTACTCAATGTAATTTCGATCTAAGTAGTTTACAAATTATGAAAAGTACATTTATGTGACTTATACAGTGAATTATGATAAATGGTACCTTTATAGTGAAATTTGGAGTTATATTTTTTTATAGCAAAACATGACTCAAATCTTCAGTTTGAGTTTTGTCATAACATAAAAACACCCCCCTTGCCTCTGGTTTAGATTTCAGTTCTGTATGAATAAAAATGATATAAATATAAAATGATAATAATGAATACAGACATGACACAGTATCCTGACAAAGCTGAAAGGTCACGTGTATCACATGAGTGTGATTGTGATGAGGGAGAAGAAGGGTTGAAACCTGAAATGTCTTCTGCTCTCTGTCGGGAGTGTGCTTACACACAGCACCTGGTTAACCAACACTAACTCAACTCTTGTTTCTTTATGTAATCAACAACTTTAAAGTTCACTGCAGCTTTTCCGATGGAGAGTGAGCCTACTGCTTTCATGAAATGGTATACAATATGGCAGGAAAATTATCTCTGTCAATAACATGATGCCACCAAGTCAAGTTAGAGATAAGATGTGTGAAGAAGCTACCCCGAATGTAAGAATGATTTTTATAGGTATTTTTCAGAAATCATAACATAACTGAATACATACAAAATAGGCAAGTTTAATACCATACTGTGGAATATTTTAAGCAAAGCAATAACATTAACATCTCCATGGAAACAAGTAGGTACCGAACATCCCACCCAGAAAAGTTGTATAGCACACGTTTAATTCAAAGCGTATGGAGTTAACATGATTAACTGAGATTCATGAGCCGGACCACTCCTGGACCTCCTCTCCAGCCAACCAAATCTTATCTCAACCACGCCTTCATTTACCCAGAAGCCCTATTTACACAGCCTATTCTGACAACACCGTCCACATCAACTCTCTAGACCCTCTCCCTCCCACCAGTGTCTTTCGCCCATCCTTCAGTCTGAAGATGTTGTCTTGAAGGAGAAGGGGGTTCCGATTTAGCTGGGTGACCATTTTGGATTGGCGATTATACCCCCACTCTAAGTCTCTTCTACACATCACATATCTGCCGTCAATAAACATCTTTATCGTATTTCATTGTTGTGGCGTGGTGCGTGTTAGTGAATGATAGTTACTGTATAGAGACAAGCACTTTATATCATAAGATCATTATTTAACATATCATACTTAGAACACTTGTAGGGGCCAACCCAAAACCACAGAGTATACAGATTTGTTTTAGTTACGTCACACTTTTTCAGAAACTGATTTTGCTGAATGAAAGCATTTTTCATGTACTTTTTTCCTGTCTCACACAAACAAACAAAATGATAATTAAGCATAAGCAGAAAAGTATGCTTGCCTTTTCTTTACTTGGATAGTGACACATTTATGATGTCACAAGAACATTATTTAAAGGAAACTCAGTCTGCTTCAAATCTTTAAATAGAACATGTTAAATAGATAGAATAGAATTGTATTTATAAGAAATGTCACGTTCAGTTGTTGGAGTTTTCACGTGCATTGCTGTAAGAGACGACAAAATATCGAGATCTAGTGTTTTGACCTACACCTATTTTAAAGTAGGGGCAATGCATGCAAACTTTTACAACCATTTCCTCTCTTTGTTCAGCGGTGGATTATGCATTATTGTGCTTAAAGACAAAACAGCGTGTCCTTCAGTGTGACAACATCAACAACATTGATTGGTGTCTTTTTTGTGTGTTTTGTTTTGTGTTTTTGGTTCTGAAGCCTGTACTTTGACATAAAAAAAAATCACAATTGCAAATCAGAAAGGAAATTCTAATATGTGGTATGAAGTATAATGTGCTCTTTTACTGTAGTGTCAAATGTCAATGTCAAAACTACACTATATTGTATATTGAAACTAACTGTAGTATCGTTTTTAAACCAACAGGGGCAGAAGCAGCACAAGAGCCGTAATTTAAAAAAACTGAAAGAAACATTATGGTCCATTCAAGCTTAAAAGAGCCCATTAGAATCATTTGGACTATTTCAGCCCTGGAATTGCCAATCTCTACTGAATTTAAGGTAAAAGGTGGCTGTTAACTTGAAAACTATTACTTCATGACATCATAGTATTTTGAGTTTTGAAAATATATGCAGACTTATAATAAAGTGTTACTCAAACGTGTGAATGAAACAAAACACAACCCCAGGTCTGTTTTTGATGAGGTAACAACATTATAACACGTCTTAAAGCTCACAAGAGTCAATTTGGCGTAATATAAGACCTTTTATTTAAGTATATTTTAATAGTGTAGCACAAGTCTAGTTTTAATGCTTGCTTTTGAATCCTTATTTAACTTGCATATTTTTATTCTGTTACTGTTTTGATACTTTGCGTTGCAACAATGAATTTTCCTCTGTTGTGGCACAATTTGCAGTGCCTACAGTTAGCACCACACCCCAGGGAACACTGACGTCATCAGCTGCAAAGTATCAATTAAACAGTGAGATTTTACACGATGTTAAAATACTAAATACAGTTGGAGAGTGCAAATATTTTACATCCCACATGTGAAATGCCTTCCCCATTGAGTTTCCAGTGCTCTCCACCTCTGCGTTTACCTTAGTGCTGCAGAATGCTAATTGTTTCCAGCTGTTCGAATGACCTCAGTAACACAAGATTATACAAGTGGAACAAATGTGCTCCAAATTACCGGAGTTTGGGTTGTTTGTTAGAGATACAATGTACTTGAATGATAATTATTTTTCTATCATATCATTTTTCAAAGCCACAAAAAGGACAGCAGGTGGAGTTGTTGTGCTATTAACACAGAGCTCTGGAATTCATTGGTTTAGGGTAGATAGGCCACAGTACATTACCAACGTTTGAGGAAGTACTCATTTTGAATAAATTTGGTACTTTACATGACATCCATGTTAGGTGTTACCACTTTAGTTGACTTCCCAAATAATATTGTTCTTCCTACAAAATTCAGCTGAACTGTGCATAAATATTTATTTTATAAACTATATATTTCTAGAATGAAAATGTGTTTCATTCTTTTGTATTTTAACTCAGCTTGCCTAATTTTAACACTAAAATCTCCAAGGATGTGACTGTAACACTGTTCTTTTAAAGATTCTACAATAAGTCACTTGTGACAGTTCATAAAGGTGTTGGCATAAAGGGAAGCATGCATACTTTATTTAACAAACTTTATCTCTATTTTAAATCTAAAAAAGATCAAAACAGTTTAATGCTGTAACCCAGAGGGTGTCCTGCAGTGTGAAAAATCACAGATTTAAAAAGACTAAAGAGCTCATCTGACATTTATGCACCAGGTGCATGATGTCCTGTGGTGTGACAGCTGTGTTTCCTGACAAAAATACTATTTTAATGATTAAGAAGACATTCATTAAGATAGCACAGTTACACAATCATTATAGTAACACTATAGACACATCCAATGTTTATTTGACTTGTAGTGAATGTCCAACGGTGTGACTGGAGAGGTGAAATGTTTAAATTTACAAGAATTACACAAAAAATATGTGATGTTTGTGAAAAGGCTTCTTTGCAATTGCTGTAGAACTGATTTGTTTTGAAAATCATTTTTGCTATAAAGGAATGTCACAGTGTAGGACAAGAAAAAAGTGTTACACCCCCAAACGTCAAGTATCCATTTTTGTATGAACTAAACTATGTATTTATTGATTATGTAAAACATGTAGTAGAAATCATTTTAATCCTACACTATGGAACATTCCAGGCAAAAGCAAGAACACCCCCATAGAGACAAGCAGGTACAATACATATGTCTTCTCTTTTTGTATGAAGGCCACATGTTAAACTGAATGAACTCTGCTG